GGTGATGTTGACGGTGCAAGTGCTGATGCGACCGGTCGCGAGTCCAATCTCGTTATTGACGCACTGATCGGAGAGCTGGAGGCTACGGGCCTGGGCGGGAAACCGAGGTACGAGGCGCTGGAGATGGAAATGGACAAGTTCGCCGTCGGGTCCGGGCTGGGTGTGAGTTTGGGTTGAGCTCGGTCTTCAGCGGTAACGAGCGAAGCGCACCGAGGTGAAGCTTCTCGTCGCTCCTGCTGTAAGTCAGGCTGTGTTGGGAACGCGGGCGTGCTAGCTAGGGGCACACGCGCCCTTAATCCGGCTTCGTGGTGTTGATGGAGGGCCTCTGGGCTTTATTTTACGGCCCCACGGGGTGATATCTACTAATACGGCTGATGTTTGCGGGAAAGCAAGGGCGTTGGGCATCTTTGGCTCCTCTTGCTTGCTTGCTTGGATGGATGGATGGATGGATGGATGGATGGAACCGAGGCAAACTGACCCGATACCCCTGCCCGCCTGCTGGCATTTTTATTTCCCATCTACTTTATTTTTACTTCTTACTACCCTTGAGGGAAACTGGGGGAGGATATTAATATCTTTCGAGCAGCCTCGATGGATGGATTCATGGATGGATGGATGCTAGGTAGGTAACTAATTGTCTAATCAATCAATCCAAAAGTTGTTGTAATGAACCGATCCACTCTTGTCTGTGATTTTCTTTCCTTCCTTCTCTAGTCTCCGCATGCCTCCTCCCTCGTTCTGGTGTTGCTCTCTCTCTTATATCCGTCTTCACTTCTGCCCAGCACTTACTACTAACTACTGCCCATACCACCCTTCTCCCCCATTCCCAATGCAACCCTTCCATCCACAACCAGCACCTCGGGCAACTCGTCGCCCCTCACATCCACGACTCCGCTGCCCACCCCTCCCTCCTGTTCGCGTCCCAGATCCACCACCCTCACGGCCTCCAACCTCAAGACCCCGACCCTCAGCGCCACCAGCTTCAGCTGCACCTCATGACACGCCCCGCTGCCCAAGGGCCCGACCCGCACATCCGTACTGATGGGTATGAGGTCCGTGTCGGTGTGGGCGTTGATGCTCGATTTCTGCAGCGCATGGATGATGTTCTCGTCGAGCACTGCGGGCGCCATGTCTACCGGTGGATGCGGGTGTGCGTTGTTGAGGGTTTTGAAGGAGGTGGTGTGGTGCCGCCGGTCAAGCGCAGACGAGGCGGATGGTTTGGGGGCGTGTTTGCGTGAGGAATGATGGGTGGAGGAGCTGGCCGGGCGGCGGGGGATGGGGATTATTGCTAGTTTTAGGGGGTGCGCGGTGTGGTTGGTTAGGAGGAGGGTTAGTGGGAAACTTTGGCCGAGCATGGCGGTGGGGGGAAATGTGAAGGATATGGTCAGGCCGGAGAAAGGGGGAGGTTTTGTGGTGGTGGTGGTGGTGGTGGTTGTGAGTGAGGTCGGTCGGCTGGCTTGGAGGGGTGCAGGTGGGTGGAGTGGAAGTCGTGGGTAAGAAGGGCCAAGGCGCGCGTTAGGCGGAACTGATAAGTCGACGTTGCTGCGCCAGCGCATGGTGATGGTGGGTTTACATTTTTCGGAGATCTGGAGGGTTGATTCGAGAAGGATGTCGAGAAAGCCAACAGTATTTGGCGCTGTGGTTGGGAGAGGCAACGGAGTCTCTGCTGGATGTGCTGGTGGTTGGACCTTGTAGAGAAATGTGACCGTGCTCCTAGGTCGACATCTGATTGGCATGGGGAGAGGACTTATGGCCTCAATCTTGCCGTCAGAAGCAAGTGAAACGTTGGCACGGTCCAGCAAGACATCAAAGGTCGCGAATGGAGTCACCTCAAAGTCCAGACTGGCGATCGTAGTTGGATGTGGAAAATTCGTTGCCATACGCGAGCATCGAATACGTGCTGAGACAGCTGGACTGATAGTTATACGTTTCGTTGGCTGATGCCGAATGTGCAGTGCCTCGGAATCGATCTGCGGACCTGGAAGCACACTTTCAATTCGAGAAGCCGGAAGATATGGTGCACGGTCTTCCAGAGCTGGGATCGTTTTCAACCGCTCAAGTATATTGGTGGGTGCCGGAACAAGAGGCGGTAAGTATTCATCGTCAATTGGACTTCCGTCAGCATGCTTCGCAGGTCTTAGCTTCACGGAAGCTGTAAAGGTTACTGTCGCGTTTGGCAAACGGAAACGAGGGCGATTCAGAACTGCCTCGGTCGCCCATATGGCTAATATGGTAGATTGATTATGATTCGATGGCTCCTCGTCCGCATTGACCACAATGAACGGATCTCTGTCATTGTGGATGTGGCCAGAGAAGACAAGGTCCTTCTCAGACCCTCGATAACCTCCTGAGTCCGCCTGATTCGACTGATTCGACTGGGATGAAAAGTTGCCGATGGCATGCACGTCAAGTCTGATATCTAATCGAGGTAGATACTCCTTCAACGCTTCTTCTGCGCCGTTGACGATCCGTAACACAACATACACCGTCAATCTTTCATCTGTACATCTGTGAATGAGTAAGAGACGATGGTTCTCCACAGCGGCAAATCCTACATACCAAAGTACAGATGGCGCCGCTGTTTGATGGGTATCAGCGATGACTCATCCTCTGTCGCTGCTTCGGAGGTACTCTCCAGGACTTCTGGAAGAATTGGTTGCGAGACTTCGGGGACGATTGTGTCCAACATCGCATCGCGAAAGAATGCCCGAACGCGCTGTAGGGCGGCCATGACCAGATACTTGCGAGGTCGGTCTAAGCATCATCCAGATGTAAGACTCATCGACATAGACTGCCACTGAGCCATGCGAGAGGTAGTATTCTGTGGAGTAGAGTATTGGCAGTGTAACTTCTGTAGTATGTGAATGTCCTTGCTCATCGTCGTCGTCGTCGTCGTCGTCAGAGGGAGCACAGGGGGTGCATGTATAATACTAATGTAGCTTAGCTCCGATTTTTTGACGATCTACTACGTTAATTCTTTTTTGCCAATCAGACCATCAAGACCCATATCATTGCAGCTCCTCAATTCGACCTTGCTCCAGGAACTAGAGCCCGCTGACAACCTTCCTGCATGTCATAGCTCTTACACAGAAATAGCAGCGCCACGATGAATGGTCTGCCACCCACGCCAGCGATCTGGCAGGAGGCGCGCACTGCAGAAGGGAGAGTCTACTACTACAATGCTCAGACCAAGGCCACGCAATGGACAAAGCCAGTGGAACTGATGACTCCTCAGGAGGTACATCCTCATGCATCCCAACATTTCCTATTGGCAGTGTCTGACAATCTGCAGCGCGCAATCGCCAATCAGCCGTGGAGAGAATACACAACGCCAGATGGCCGCAAGTATTGGAACAATGTCGAGACGAAGCAGAGTGTATGGGAGATACCGGAGGCTTACAAGAACGCAACATCACAGAATGAGCCTGCTACCAGGTCTGTTGCACAGTATGTCACCTCTCTGCTGTACTGCTTATCGATGCTCACCAGACGATTTAGGCCTCCTACTTTTGTTGCTGGTGGTACCTCCTCCTCGCTCACTTCTTATACCCCCCAACGAGAGCGTGACGAATACAATACGCCTGAAAGAAAGGATGCTGAAAAGTTTCCCGGCGCGAATGGCATTCCTGTAGCGTCAGGTGGGGAGCAAGCTCCGGCATACTCTAGTTTCGAGGAGGCTGAAGCCGCGTTCACGAAGCTCCTGCGGCGCTCAAATGTGCAACCAGACTGGACATGGGAGCAGACAATGCGAGCAACGATCAAAGACCCTCAATATCGAGCGCTAAAGGACCCCAAGGACCGCAAAGCGGCATTTGAGAAGTATGCTGTCGAGGTTCGCTTGCAGGAGAAAGAAAAGGCCAAGGACAGATTGGCTAAACTCAGAGCAGATTTTGGCACCATGCTGAGAAGGCATCCTGAAATTAAGCATTACAGCCGATGGAAGACAATCCGACCGATCATTCAGGGTGAGACTATCTTCAGATCCACTGATGATGAGAATGAAAGGCGACAGCTGTTTGAAGAGTACATTGTCGAGCTCAAGAAGGCTAACGTGGAGCACGAGGCCATCACACGCAAAGCCGCAATGACCGATCTGGTCTCCATTCTCAAAGCGCTGGATCTGGAGCCGTATACCAGATGGTCAGAAGCTCAGGGGGTCATTCAGTCGAATGAAAGGATCAAAAGTGACGCTAAGTTCCAAACCCTGAGCAAATCAGATATTCTTACCGCTTTTGAAAATCATATCAAGTCTCTCGAACGAGCCTTTAATGATGCAAGACAGCAACAGAAGAACAGCAGAGCTCGAAAGGAACGCCAGAACCGTGACCATTTTATCGACTCGCTGAACGAGCTGCGATCCCAGGGAAAGATCAAAGCCGGCAGCAAGTGGATGAATGTCTTGCCGGACATCGAGGACGATCCCAGGTATGTAGCTATGCTTGGACAATCGGGATCAACACCATTGGACCTTTTTTGGGATATGGTCGAAGAAGCGGAGAGAGCTCTTCGAGGCAGGAGAAACGATGTCTATGATGTGCTAGAGGTATGTTTACGTCTGCGTGCCATTTTCTTATGAATGACTGACATCCCTTGAGGACAAACGATATGAGATTACCCAGAAGACCACCTTTGATGAGTTTGCCGGTGTTATGGTAACTGATCGCCGCACAGCTGATATTGATCGAGACAACCTGAGACTCATTTTTGACCGCCTCTATGAGAAGGTACTGAAACGCAACGAAGAAGAAAAGCATGCCGCCGATCGCCATCAACGTCGTGCTGTTGATGCGCTCCGATCCCGAATCAAGCACCTCGATCCACCGATCCGCTCTAGCGACACTTGGGATCTGGTTCGGCCTCGGGTTGAGAGAAGCGACGAATACCGTGTCTTGGAGACAGACGAGATTCGAAAACTAGCATTCGACAAGGTTATCAAGCGCCTGAAGGAGAAAGACGAAGATATTGATAAAGATCGGGATCGCCGACGCTCGCGCCGTGACGATGATCGGGACTTAAGAAACGGTCATTCCAGTCGCCTCGACGGTCGACGAGGGCGTCTGTCAAGAACCCCAGAGGTTGATGCCTACGAAGCAGATAGGCGCAAAGCAATGGCAGACCGCGAGAAGTCATATCGTAAGTCAAATGCTTTGGGTCTGAGTCCACCTCCTTCACTATCGCACAGAGATCGAGATCGAAGGGACAGAGATGATCGACACGGTCGCCTTGAGCGTAGCCCACCACCACGACATCTCAGCCACTACGATCGCGAACGTCGAGACAGAGAAGAAGAGCGTGAGAGGCTATACCGAACAAGAGGAGATCCCAGGGGTAGTCGAGACGAGCTCAACTACGGCGAGGAGTCGAGAAGTGTTACAGGCAGCGACAGACGAAGACGACGCGGTGGAGAGAGCGACGGTGATAGCGATGGTAGCGGGAGGAGGACTAACAAACGCTATCGCCGTGAGAGGAGAGATTCTAGAGAAAAGCGGAAGAGCAAAACGCCTGAAGAAGCTAAAAAGGACCCGCCGCCTGAGCCTGTCGGCGTGCATTCTGGCAGCGAAGAGGGAGAAATCGAGGAGGACTGAGAGAGAGAGGGGGGGGGAGAGAGAGAGAAAGATATGATCGCATCAGGTCAGTTGTTTCACTTCGAGCACCCTCACACAACAGCAATCATCTACAAGACTTTCTCGTCCAATCCGCCCTTCCTTTTCCACAGTGCGAAAACCCGAGCGACAGGACACACTCTATATCATGCCTTCCAACCCTCTGCATCACACGGGACATCACAAGGACCGATCCAGAGGGTCGCACAGTACGTACGCAAACTTCCCTCGTTCTTTTTTCCTTATCCATAGAATCAGAATATGTGTATAGCTTTCTTGACGCTCATCGTGGCGCTTCAAAATCCCGTAGTAATAGACAAGTTTAAGAATCCATTTTTCTCCCCTGGGTTGGATAACCCGAAGTCCAACTGGATAGCCGTCCTCACATTGCAGATTCATCTCTTCATCTGATTACTACTCCAGGTCCACTACCATTTTTTCCCTGGCATATATCTTGTTCCGCATGTTGCATCTTGCCTCGATTTTGTTTTTGTTTTTTTGTTTTTTGTTTTTTGGACTGTCAGCAACATGGATATCAGAGATTGATATGGGTACTACCCCGTTCGTACACTCTAGTCTTGACCTTTAATACTGGTAGAAAGTTTTCCGTCATACCTGAAGCTTAGAGATCTGAAGCTCCAGCCGTGCTGGAACCGGTGTGCACTGGACAGACAGACCAACCGACCGACCGACAACATCAACCCATTTCGACCTTTGAACCCGGGAGATGAGCTCTTGGATTCTAGCAGATCAGGACAGGCAGGGGCACTCATTCGCCGCCATGACACATCCGACTTAGCCCGCACGAGGGCAAAATCGCATTTCCGCCATCCGAAAACGACTCAGTTCGTAATCATGCCGAAGTTTGCGTCCGTTGCTCTCCCACCACAGGCAGCTCAGAGCAACGACAAATGCATGCATGCATGCAAGAAGGCCAGAAAGGAAAGGGAGATGCGATTGCATCGCCCTTTTCCCCCTCCACCAGGCAGCTCAACCTCCTCTCCAATCCCTCAGCACGCGCAGCCCCCATTCCTTCGGGATCCGATAAGTCCACCATGATATCCCCACCTACCGCTTCTGCATGTGGATTACGTCCTGAAAACTCCGCAACGCAGAAGAGAGGAGAAAATACCCCCCCTGGCTTTGACGACATCGTCTGCTCCTGCTCCAGGAGACAGACACGAGAAGATGGGATCGGGAGGGGGTGTGTTGTCGCTTTCAGTGATTTTATCCACTGCTGCTTGCGAAACTCTCCGGTTCCGGAGTATGAGAAATTTATCTGCGGTGAAGAACGGGTGGAGTCAAGGGGGGATGATCGGGGCATACTGGTACCGACTGAAACGCCAGGCTGGGTGGGAGGATGAAATAGGCTTGTGCGAAGGAACGGTGGCTGTGAGCTCGACTGCGCGAAAGCAATTAAGTGGCAGCAGCGCCAGAGACGTATTCAGGCACTTCCGCCCCAGGTGATGGATTGCATTGTGGCACGCGACTCGTCTATAAGGGGGACGATGGTGTGCGTGCATTGTGCATTTTACGTATTCAGTCATGTAGACGTTGAAAGATATTGTGAAAGGCGCCGTCGAAACCGAGTCGTAGTTTAAAAAGCCTGAAAATGCCCAAGTCGACTGCCCGGCCTGATGGCCATTAGAGCTTGATACAGTCCAGCTTTTCGTCCTGCAATTTTGCCGCAGAATTAAGTCCTACAGCCTAGCCTTTTCTGCTCTGTGCATGCAGGTTGGTTGAGACAGGCAATGACAAAGTGAATCGGAAAAACTGCGATAGGCCCCCCTGCAGCAACCAGTAATCTTGCAAATCACCTGCAGCACCAAGACTTGTCAAGCAAGTCACCGCGGGCGTATGCCTTCCTCGCTTTTGGTCTCCTCAGTCTTGTCGACCTCTATCTCATCACCTGGCACCTCGACCCAGCCAGAGCTTCTCCTGCTGATCTTACCGGTCGGTGCCACCGGTGGAGCGCTGGCAAGAGGGCTGGTCGGTCCACCACCGATACTATTTGTCATGCTGTCATTTCTCCCGTGAGCAAGAAGTCCGCTACGGACGCTCGCACCGTCACCCGCGGCTTGCTTCCCAGCCAAGTAGCTATTCCGGTCGCTCGTGAGTGCAGGCGCTATACCGGAAGAGGAGTAGAGACTAGCCCGTTCAGCGCTTGCGATGCCGCCAATGCTCGGCCGGGGTAGTGTCCCTGGAGCATTGGTGACTGATTGAGCGGAAGGATCGGCAATGCCACTCAGCACGCTCAACGGAAGACTTTCACGGCTACCTCCAAACATTGAAGCTGGAGCAAGCGCTCGCATAGAGGCATTGGTGTCCGCAGAGTTTCGTCGACGGCGCTTCGAGGATGATGCCAATGTGAGAATGGAGGCATCGTCTGTCAACATGTTATTTGCAGTAGCCGATGTGTACGTTGTAGGGTGGGTATGAGGAGCCAGGTGGCCTGGCACAGCCGTTGCTGGAGGAGAGGTCGAAGGGAATTGATGAGAAAAGTGGGACGAAGCATTTGTAGAGTTGAATGTTGTGGTATGACTGCCATTTTGGGCGGGGATTGTGTTTCCCTGGCCAGGCACTGCCACAGATTGAAGTGTAGTAAGTGTTGTCGTCATGGAGCGAACAGATGGAGCTGGGGATGAGAAAGTGCTATTACCGCCTCCATCAGTCCTGGCTGCTGTGGCACTAGTGCCTGTTTTTGATGCCGCGGCATCGCTTATGGCGGTCTCTCCAGTGGTCGAAAGGGTAGTAGGTCTTGATATCGCATTCGGTCTAGACGAGTTCTGTTCGTCGTGAGAGGCATGGACTGATTCTGCACTGCGTCCATGGGAGCTGAGGCGGGATTCTGACAATGATAGAGGTGTCGAAAAAGAGAGGCGGCCGTCTCCGGACGGCACAGGTCGACTGCACAATGCGTATGGATTATTTTTCACAGCGTTGCCTTTCTTGCTTTTCGAGCTCATGTAAAGATTCGATCGTTTCGCAGAGAAATCTTGCGAGGCAGCGTCGGGATTTGAGTTTTTGAGATTCGCCAGACGTTTCATCCAGTTTGAGAAGGGTCTTCGACGTCCATGTCTATCTGCACAACGAGTCAACCTAGTCCCCACGAATCAGATGTCGGACACTGGTTTCGAAACGTACCATGCGCCCTTGTGGGACCCTCGGTAGATGCCATGGTAGAGCAGGTAGAACGATGTCGCTCTTGGCGATGTTGCAGACAGACCCCGCGGTGAGCTAGCTATTGAAGATGGAGAGGTCGAGGAACTATCGAGCAATGTACGGAGGAGTACGTAGCAGGAGCACTTGAAGCTGCCAAGCAACCACCTTACCCCTGTTCTTCTCCAAATTGGTGTTGGAGGCGGGTAAGATCGAAGGCCTTTGCGGAGTACTTCGTACTTTGAGCTGATTCAAGAGATCCACCAGGTGGAGTGAAAATAGGGGAAATTTCAGAGAGGCACAATTTACGCGGTAATGCGTATGTGCCACGTGCGAAAGGAGGAGCGCTGCAGGACTCGTACGATAGATCAATCATTCGCAAAAGTGAGGAGGCTGATCGATAAAAGTACCTACTAAGCAGTAGTAATAGACGCGGCCTGTTAGCTTAATGCTAGTTAGCTGCATCCTAGTTTCGCCCCAGCCTCAGCCTAGCACCGACCCTTAAAATAAGTAGTTGCTAATTACTCCACTTAGTTATTCCGTCAGCTCTGCTCCCCCCATCCCCAGACACTGAATATTGCTTCTGGTGTGCACGGAAGCCTGACAAGGTAGCCAAAGGCGACCACCCAGTCGACTCTGGCTCCGAGCTCAGCCAGGTCTTACAGTATGAGACAATCATGACCATCTCAGTAAGTGGGTTTCAGAGTCCTAGAGTTGCTTGATCGGAATGTCAGGAAACTTTCCCACCCGGATCAATGTCTCGCTGCCGATTCTGGCCAAGGCGATAGACCATTCGCTCCTACATCCGACCATGACAGATATTGCGATTCGAGATGGGCTACTGTTGGCATAGAAATATAGTGTTGCTACTGCCTGTCTCAAACTATACATACCCCTCGCAAAGGAGTTCCTCAGAGGTTCGGATGTGGGTATCTGCCCCGTCATCGGCTTCCCTGCCGGAAACTGTACAACAAGAATTAAGTGTGTAGAAGCAGATGAGGCTTCAAGATCATTAGTCCTGACTTCAAAGTGGAAATTGACATGGTGCTCAAAGTGGGCAAAGTGTTAGGCGGTGACTGGCAATAGGTCAAGGAAGAGATACAAGCTGTCAATCGCATTTTCACATACAATGGCGCCATACTAAAAGTCATTTTCGAGAATGGCTATTTATCAACCGCTGAGATCTCTCAGCTTTGCCATGTCGATACAGATCTGAAGGTTGCTTTTGTCAAGACTTCGACTGGCTATGGCTTTGCAGAGCAGCAAGATGGGTCGTACAACTACAAAGGTGCAACAGTCGAGCATCTGAAGCTTATGAGAAAGGAGCTGGGCAACAATGTTCAGATCGAGGTAGCCGGTGGTGTGCGTACACTTAATGGTCTGATCCGGGTCAGAAGTCTGGGTGTGAGCCGCGTGGGAGCCACTGCCACGAAAACTATACTTGAAGAAGCACAGAATAGATGGATTGACCAAGAAGAGGTTGCTGTAGACGTATGCTAGAAAGGTAATGGACAAGGTGGATAGTGGAAGGTATGGAGGGATCTATATACGTACTCTCTCGATGACAATTATTATATGGAACTGTTAGAAAGGAAAAGAAATATCGCGAAAGCTACTAAATAGGATATTAATTCTTCCCACTTCTTCGATCCAAAGCCCGAAGTTATAGAATGACAAACCTTCTAAAATGCCCAAACTGGCAAGTGGTGCCGATCATACATCGGAAATCAAATTAAGGATGCTGTCATTCTTCCAATGTATGGCCGTGGAGGAAAATGGACTACAGAATAGCATGCTATGAGCATGTCTTCCACGCTTGAGCCCTCTTTACGCGCTGTGCCAGCCCATCTATCATTCCTAGCCATCTACAACCCTTCCCTGGGCAACACAGACGACTCGTTACAAGAACAGATCGTGTTCTACTCCTCGACGGTGACACGAGCTCGCCGAAATCGCAAACATGAAACCGAGGGCCAGCACGAGGCGGAAAGAGAAGAGGAGAATGAACAGTTGCGCCAAGTAGGCCTGGCGCAGGGGATGGTGGATTTTGCGAAGTAGGTAGGCCAAATCATACCGTTACCGCAGCTTCGTGGAGTAGAAATTGATGCATGCTTAGGAACTTCTCAGATGGAGAGTCAATTGACACAATCGAGACGGAGAGATCTCGCCTTGTGCTTCATGAAGTGGAAAAGGGCTGGTGGATATTGGCATCGGTCACTTTGAGTCGAATGCCCATTTCACGAGGCCCTGATCAAGAAAGGGCCTCGGATCGGGGTGCATATGACTATTCCTCCCGAGAAGTGTCGCCGCCCCAGTTGCTGCTACAGCACCTCCTTCGAGCGCACTCGATATTCCTCCTCCATCATGCTGCTACTTTGGACCACCTTTGGTCGCGGCTACCCCGTACCTTGTTCTGCACCCTTCTTGACCGCTTCTGGACACGCTTTATATGGAACTGGGATGTGCTCCTACATGGGAACCCAACAGTCGACATGTACAATGGCATGAAGCTGGCCGGCGGGGGGGAGCTAGGTGTTGGGGTGGGTGAAGAGGAGTGGGGAAGCGGAGAAAGAGAAGTTCTTGAGGATTTCATCGCCAGAACCGAGGGACTTGTTGATCTGATAGTGTCTCGGTTTGGCGACGCTCCGATCGCGCCGTCAACCGCTACAGCAGGTCACGGGTTGTCCGAACCGTGGAGAAAGCAGCAGGCACCCTGGCTTGCTTCAGATCTCGATCCACAACCGAATGATGGTGTTCTATTCTCGGGTATTGGTGCTATCTCCAGGCGATCGCTAGCAACAGTGTCACATTGGATGGCAGACATCTACAAGTATGGGGAAGATGCGTATGGCGTGGGGGAGAATCCCACCGCAAGACCTCGTAGGAAGCAACCGAAGCTTTCCTCGAGAATGGCACAACGAACCCATTCCTCCGAAGGTGAAACTGCGGCCAATCGATCTATCAAAACACATTCAAGAGGCCGTCTGCCACTGTCGAGTAGAAGCACGAGCAGACGTGGTTCCTCAACCCCTGGCATCCCGCCACCACTCGTGAAGGCCGTCGAGCAGTCCCTTGAGAAAGCAACCGCGAAAGCGAGTTCGAGGGAACCGAGTAGAAGCCCAACTAAGAACCAACGAGGTAGCTCAAGCCCTGAGCAAGAACCTCCATTGTTTGGAACAGACACGATGATGAAATACCTCAGTCTTGGTTATGGCTCATCCTGGACGCTGAATCCCAAAGGGCTCTCGAAAGGCGAGCAGCGGACAGGTGCACAGCATGTCTCACAAGAAGACGCACCGGGCAAGTCCAAGGAGGAAGGACATGACCCGGAAAAGTCGAAAAATCCAGAACCACCTCAACTGCAGATGGTCGAGCCAACTCCCGAAGTCAGCGACAATCAACGCAATCATTTTGTCCAACGTCTCGAACAGTCAATTGGCAAGTTCATAATCGGTCTTTCTGGCGATCTGGAGAATCAAGATCTGATAGATGATGACACGGACGGAGCACCCCGGATTGTGCTGAGAACCGTGAATGCTGAAATGCACACGCCTTCTTCTGACATGAATCGTCAAGACTCGATGCCATCAACTCCTAACGAGCTAACACCGGCTGGAGCCTCTCTTGATGACCCACCTAAAGAGCCCCCATGCAGCACAAAACAACTCCAAGTCGCAGTTTACGTCCACCAACCTTTCATCTTTACCTTCCTTTTCGAACTCCACACCCCTTCGCTCACCTATCCCTCTTTCTACCGCAGCATCCATCATCAACTAGGCCCTTTGCAAAAACCACTCCTCCGATCTACAGACCCTACCAATGTGGCCGCCCGAATCGCAAGCGCCATGGGCGAAGGCACAACCACTAACCCTCCAATATCAGCCCCCAAATCTCCAGCCACTTTACCACCACCGATCTACGATCTCGTCTACGACCCAGAAAAATTGACCATCCACGGAAGTCTTCCGAACATTCCTCCCCCCCGAACACCGATCGGCGAAGGAAGTTTAGCAGCCCAAACTGTAAGCGGCAGCTGGTACACGCTCGGCATTCCCACATCCTCTTCCTCCCCATCCAGCCTCAGAGGCCCACATCCATCCGGTAGCCAGCAAGCACTCCATCACAGCCCGTGGTCCCGCATGGAAGCCCTCAACATCCACACCCAAGTCCTCAACACCTACATCGCTACGCGCCGCCTGCCAGCTGAGCTCGAACGCACCGTCAAGACCGGACGTGGGTGGTGGGTTCTCTGGATGCGGGTGCAGGGAAGTGTGAACAAGGACGCTAATGACGCAGAGAATAGGGGACTGGCGAAGGAGGCTGTGTTGGTGAGGAGGGCGAGGGAAGATGTTGGTGGGAGTTCCAGTGGTGGTGCTCTGTTTGGGGGCGGAGGGAGGCAGGTTAGTGGGTGGCTGAGCAGGCGGGACGCGAGCGGGAGTAGTGCCGGTGCCGGTGCTGGTGCTGGTGCTAGTGCAGCAGCTGGAGGAGGAGCAGGAAGCGGGGCGACAATAGGCGTGGCGGGTGTGGCAGAGGGTGTGGGCGTTGATGCTAGGAGGTGGGTTGAAGGGTTGTTAAGCTTGAATCGCTGAGGTTGAGAAGCAATCAGTGGAAAGTGAAAAAGGAAATTTTTAAACCATGCCATGGATTTGGATGAGAGTCTGTATATTCTCGACCCAACAGGACCTGGCTACAGTAGCACATAAGCCAGATGACAATTCTCACACCCACATTCACAATTTCTAACTCTCTTTTCTCCGTTTCGCTCCTCAATGATCGTAAGGTGCCTTCTCTTCTGGCATCAAACATCTCTCTCCCTCTCTCTCTCTCCTTGCCCATCCACCAGTCAACCAAACCGAGCCCAAACCCTCTCACAGATACCGAGAGGAGAACAAGCTTTCAGACAATACCTCAAAGCCATCCGCGCCGGTCTACGTCCTCAAAGATTCTGCGCATTCGGTTGGAGATTGTATCCAAGTTGAAAGCAACAAAACTCATCTATTCCAGCAATCCCAGGGATCAAGACTGGGACCATAATCGTTAGTTAGTACCCCAACAATCACCCGCCCAGATCTCTGACCAAAAACAAAAGGAGAATAGCCACGCCGGAAAAAAGCACACGACGAATAACGTCCAAACCGTCAAACAAGGAACGCCAGAACCAGAGAGAAAAGCCCCAGATTCGTAGAGAATTTCCGCCCACGAAGTTTGGGAAAGGGAGGAGAAGGGTGTTCTTTATTCATACTAGTGTAAGGAAACATGTGCCAGCGTTGCGGAAAATTGAACGTTATCGAGAGCTTAGCTAGGGCCCATCGAGTTCGCGGCGAAGGAAACGGCATCGAGATGTTTATAGCAACCAGGCTACTGTGCGAAAGGATGTTGGGCTTGTCGGCTTAAAAGGGAGGGGAAAGGAGGGCCGACAACACATTAGCTGTTGGAGAAGACATTGAATAGAGTCATGTCTTCAGCAGCCAACGAGTAGCGGAAGCGAGTATGAAGAGTTTTCATGTTCGTGGTATTGATCGACAGTGCTGACTGATAGGTCTGCATCCGGGTGGATACCCACTAGCGAGAGGGAGATGTCGTTCATGTCTCTAGATTTCGCACCGGCGTCTCTGACAAATGAAATGGATAACTGTCAGGCTCTAGAGTTAATAATGACAGCGTTTGCAACTAGCGGGAGGGGGGGCATGCTCAATGTACTCCGTAGGCTTGCCAGTATATTACTACTGACAACAGCACTGCTCATATCCTGGGCCTGAGACGGACAGCAAAGAATGGCAAAATTGGCAGGATAAGTATGATTTGTGCTGCTTTGTTGTTAGAACGTGATAGCACTGTTCAGAATTCTCCAGGAAAAGCCATGCCAAATTGTGTAAAACTGTGTATGCATTCACCTGTCAAAGTGTGCCTGGTACAATTTCCCAAACACCGCTCACCTTAAAAAGTGACCAACTGCCTGAGCTTTTAACGTGTGCGTGATCGTCCACATCAAATATTTGACTCATTCCCCAGCACCTTTTGAACAACCTTAGACACCAATATCGGAGTTGCTGCCCAAGGGATGTCGGTGAATCTGACCTCAGTCAACAGTTTCAGGAGTATCTATAACAGAAATCCAAGCCGGAACAGACAACTATGAAAGAAGAAAATGGCGTGAGGGAGTGGATGTAAGACGATACCATCGCGACTGGCCGCATCGACTTACACCTTCAAAGGTGGATGTGGATAAACGTCATGAAGCGCATATGATCAAGAGGGAATAGAACAGAAACATTTGTGAAGCTTGTTGCATGCTGATTGAGGAGTCTCTACAACAGGGAGCCGATTAATGCGCGTCGAGAATCCATAACCAGCCTCAACTCCATTCGAAAGTCCGAAGACGAAGCACGAAATTGTTTAATGACAACGCCATTCGGGACATATGTGTATGAGGATTGATCTTGTGTGCTCTTTGCCTCCCACCCCCGAAACGCAAGATCAGCCTTGGTCTGATGTGTGATGAAGCTAAGAAAACAAGTTGATGCCAGCAAGTGTGCCTGCTCTGATCTTGACCATACCGCCCGCATACCCAAATCAAGAGAGCACCTAAGCATAAGCAAGCTGCTGAGGTGTTGGCCTCGAAGAAGACCACAGATTCGGTAGGAGCCATACCAGGAAACCGAATATCTGGTTTGTGATTGAATGCTGGCCATTGCAAGGACGAAAGATGATTGCATTTGCAAGATTACAAGATCAAGCACTTCTTGTCCTTCTTCCTCTTGGTGAGCAGAGCAGCACGTGTAGCAGTCTCGAAGACCTCGCGAACCCCCGTGTTTCTCTTCGCTGAGCATTCGAGGTATTTGTACGCCCCAATCTTCTTACAAACTTCCTCGCCCTGTGCATGGAGGTGTCAGCCCCGCGGACATAGAGCTTGCTGGGCATTCTAGCAGATCCAGAAGGGTTTAAAGGGTATAAGACATGGATCAACGCACCTGAGCCTGCGTAACCGGTCGCTGAGAGGTCTTGTGCAATTCTTCCAGCGTCTTGGGATCGTCACGAAGATCGGATTTGCAACCAACAAGGATGATAGGGAGACCTGGGCAGAAGTGCAGAACCTCAGAGATCCACTTTTGGTGCATCTTCGTCAGTATTTGCCTTTCTGCAAGGTTCTCGGGGCCCCTCCTACCTTCTCCTGGACGTTATCAAGGGAATCTGGGGAGTCGACTGCAAAGCAGATAAGGATGACATGAGAGTCCGGATACGAAAGAGGACGGAGGCGATCGTAGTCTTCTTGACCCGCCGTATCCCATAGGGCTAGTTCGACATGTTTGCCATCGACTTCGACGTCGGCAACATAGTTCTCGAAGACAGTGGGAACGTACACCTGCAGACCCCAGATAAGCTACAGAAGTACGTTACGAAATCACAAAGACCGAAGAGAGTTGTTTCATCTTTGCAGCCCCGAGGTATTCATGCCGAGCCTTTCAGCAGATGCTTGTGGGAGAAGGAAAGTCCATACCTCAGGAAAGGTACCCTTTGAGAAGACACTGTGAGAACATAACTGTGAGCCATTTGCACGCTTGTGATAGCATTATAATGCTTGATCAAGTTGAAAGAGGGATACTCACATCAACAGACACGTTTTTCCACAGGCACCATCTCCAACTATGACAAGTTTGCGACGAATTTCAGCCATGGTGACTGAGACCTTAATGTGTCAGCGATCAATAGCTGATGAGCTCGGGGATAGATTCGAGGACGAAGAAGCGATGACAATAGGTTTTGAAGCTGTTGTGGTTGACGTGCGAGGTGTGTTGGTGAGAGAAAGGTGATGCGAGATGGAGATGTTGAGGGCAGAATCAGCAAGACTCACTTTAGTGTCGTGGCTCCAAGTAGCGTGGCTGGAATCAGGCACTCAGAGAACGTTGATGAGGTCGATGCTAACAACACCAATTTCAAACAGTGTATGATCAATGATGATGGTCGTGTGAACAAGGCAAAGAGGATTGGAGAGGTGTGGTGGATGCGTCTACTTCACTGCACAAAGGAATGGCAGAGCCAAGGTAAGATAGCTGCTGATTGACACTGCAGGCTACCACGTACTAATGAAGTTGGAGTGGAGTCTGGTTAAGTTTAAGGGGGGGGGTTTTGTATGCGAAAAGAAAGAAGACCAAGCAACCAAGCCTGCGCCAGGTATGCCTCGGGGTCCCATGCAGAGGTGTGGCTGATCACTGTAGTAATGATTGTGGCTCATGCTGACCTTCACAGCAACCACTGCCTCCCACCGATTATTACTGCTTACGATTTTCCCCAGCCGACTGATGTCTGTTTGTTTGGACTGGGGCCTCCTCTGTGCTACAACAGCAGTTTACTGTACAGTTGACCCGGACAAATGATTGGTCTACACCATGAATGATGGATGGACCCCTACTCGAGTACAGAGACAGGACACCAGGTTCGGACATGCAAACAGGACGATCATGTCATATCACATGATCGCAGCCTGGGTGTTCCAAAGCAAGCAAATCACCACTTCGTCAATCGTCTCGCGAGGCTCGGACCAAGAGGTGTTCGATGTCAAAACATGGGTACAACGTGATCTCCCCAGGACTTGGGTAACCCCGCTAGAACCCTTGCCATTCTTGAGATGCCATGATTAAAATGGATAGCAGTTCACTGGAAGAAGGAGAGGGCCAAGGGGCTCAACCTAGAGATTTGAATGCACAGACACCTCAGCAATGACGGTGGAATCATTCATAGTCGGTGGTTGTGCTCATTGATCGTGCTCATTGCCTGCAGTTATCAAGTCCAAACGGGCCAGACCATCCAGTATCCATGTTCGCAATACATGAGTACGTACTTCATCATGCACTAGCCTAAAACGTCATGGAAGGACTCCTCCGTCCAAAATTTGGCCGTAAAGAATCGTGCCACGAAGGGCAGAGATGGGTGCTGTTTCCCCAGTAGGCAATTAGTCGGCAGTCCTTCTATCCACCCATCCCATGTCCAAGAGACAAAGGTGGCATTTTTGACCTTGACGTACTAGTGGCTGGGAGGGTGAAGAAAACCATTCCGTTGGAACATTCACAAACAATCGAAAATGCACTCAGGTCATGGATGTTAGTGTTGTGTCTACCAGTTCAATCACTTGCCAATTATTCTGATGCGTCTCGGTCGAGTCCTGTACATGGTGTACCGTGCCTTTGTATTGCTTTGATAGATGAGATCATGGCGACTTCTGCTTGCGCCTAGGACTGGATTCCTTGGTCTCGGGTAATAGGATGGAGGTCAAAGTATTATGTATATACACTACATCCTTACATGGCCAAACCCATGATAATCTTCAAGACACTAAGCCATTGGTCCTTTCACTGGCATTGACCAGATTTGCTGCTTGCGTGGCCTTGATCAGGTCCATGGTCTCCTGTGTCACTGCTGTCTCCCCGGGTGCCTTCTGCTTAAGCTTCTGCTCCAAGTACTCCTGCCGTGGTAATAACATTCTCCTTTGCTTCTCCCAATGCTCTTCGGCATCTTTTTTCATCTTTTGCTGAACGTACTCCTGCCTTTGATCTCTTCTCAGCCTGCCATACTTGCTCCGTAATTCGTCTATGAGAGACATAGGCATCGGTATGTTATTGAGGGAGGGAAAGAAAGACACGTCGTCGACATCTATCCGCAGTGTGTCTCCCGCTTCAGCTTTCATCTTCGTCACCTCAGCCTTTGGCCATGGTATCGGGATATTGAGCCCAGCAATGTATCGAGTGTGCTTTGGCGTGTTTGAGCCATACGCTGGTACAGAAAATGGTCCGCCGCTTTTTAGATGTTTTACCACCGTATCTCTAATCTGGCCAGTCGTGTTGTCCCGTAATGGCACCACTAATCTCACATCCTTAAAAGGAATCTGGGCGGGCAAAGCTTGATATGGGGCCTTGCTATTGTGCTGCTCACGCATGAACGGGGGTACTTTGACATCGACCTGGTTTTAAACTAGCTTAGCATCATGAGCAGCTTCAGTTGCATGTAGAACGGCGCAATGTAAAGGAACTCACCACATTGATATCGTCCAGGATGACGGATTGCCGTTCCTCATTAACAATGGCAACCTTGCCGATCTTGCCCTTCTCCCTACCACTCACAACCACTACTCGATCATTCACAACGATATTCGTGTATCTTTCTCGTTCTCCCTTCATGACAGTCGGTGTTTGTATGGAGAGCATGCCCAACATCCCGTAGCCACCACCATCCTTTCCTGCCAAGCGGTTTGGAGCGAGAGGACCCAGAATCCAATCTTCTCGTCGATGTGCGCGTTCGGCTTTGACAAGCGAACGCGCTGCTCGAGCAGCGTCGAATTTCCCCTGCCTGACCTCGTGTGCTTCTTTGTTAAGGGCCTCTTTACTCTGCCGGCGTTGTCGTTTTAGAGCTTGATTGCGCGCAAGGATGTTGCGAAGCAGTACTCGCTGCATTTTCAGCAAGATAGCTCAGTTATTGCCGAAGGTTTGGCTTTCATGAGCACTAATGACGTGCTATTGCGGGCATCGACCGCTCTCAAATACTTAGTTATATTCTCGAAGTCAGCAAACCGGGTCAGCTTTTTGCCCAGCGACTCAGCCAAGCTTCAGCCAATCAAGTGCTTAAGAATTTAACTACTCCGTATAAGCATTCAAAATGACAGTCCTTCGATTATTCGTCTTTCCTACTCTGTACCCAGTTTATCTCTACCACAGAGGGTTATGTTCAGGTCTTATACAAGATGGCATGTTGTCAGTTCCCATGTCGGTATCAGAAGATCTAGAATATTTATGTCTACCGGGGAAGTCCGTGACTGTAGTCGCGCTTCCAGGACCTTTTCATGCCCCTATCATCAATTCCGCCCCTTGGTGGGAGAAAGCCATGATGAACCCCTACGCATTCTTTATTGTGGATCAGATAGTTTCAGCTGTGCCATCCTCCAAGCTTTGCATGAAGAATATCGTCGTCCGTCGAGCAACATAGCGTCAATCGATGTAGTATGTCGAGAAGGTAAACCATATGGTAGAGGCCTGAGATCAACCCGGCATCGTATGTCCGTCATCGCACCCACGGTGTCTTGATACTAAAGTTGTGAAGCGCAGATCAAGCAGGTCGCGAGCAGCCTAGGTCTGCCTCTTCACCAAATCAGGACTTTCACCGGTTGGGAGGTGCGTACATAATGGATGGCAAGCCAGCGCTCCATTGACACCGATAGCCACCTGAATACCCCAATACGGCTCCTTCAAAGATCAATTTGGTCGTCGCCGTCTCATTTGGGCTTCTTATCCCTCCAAGGATCTTGAATGGAGCCAGATTTTCTGGGATAAACTTGCATCCATCCATGTTGCCTGAGTACGCTGCTCTTGTTACCCGGCCAAGGATGGCTCTGACATTGGTTATAGGTACAAAGGGCCAGCACCTCTCCATTGGACCATTCTGAACGGCGAGAAGAAGACAGGCATGAGTCTTCAGACTTTACATCCTATATCCTTTGACGAGGGCATCATCTTGGACCAGACCCCATGGCCAGGAATTGACGTCCCAGAAGATTGTGACTATTCAGTACTTTTGGAGATCATGCAGTTATTAGGAGCAGACATGCTTCTGAACGCTATTAAAAATCGCTTGTACCTGCCGCCCTACATCGACGCTGGGTGGGCTAAGAATGCCGCTGATGGCAAGAAGGCATACAAACATGCTCCAAAGATCGAGACCGCTCATAAGCTCTTATGCTTCGAAACGATGGATTCTTTACGCATGGCAAGAATGTCACGGGCATTCGAATCAACTTGGGCATTTGCTGCTGTTCCCACCCGGACGTCCGAGCTCAAAAGATTGCGTATCATCTTTCCAAAACCGTTCAAGATTCTGTCGCCACCTTCAGTATATATGGATGGTATGACTGACATTTCAGGCATTCCGCCAGGTTTGCCCTACTGGCCTGATAGCGCCACCAACGAGGAAAAGGGCCGTACAGAGCAACCTTTGCTCGTCAATACAATTGATGGCAAGGCCATGTTGATAAGTTCCATCCAGGTCGAGGGTAGCGTGGAAATGCCGGCATATAAAGCAGCTCAGAAGCATGGATTAATGCCCCAGCCACGCCATGTGAAGACGAAAGGTGTCATCACGTTTCATGAGTGCCTGACAGCACAGCCTTAAGCAGGCTCTAAGGGCAAAATTACTCACTGTATACTAAACCGAGAACACTGAAGAATGCTGAGCATTCCAGGGTTGTGTTTCGCGAAAATGTCTATGTCGACCTTTGATGCTGGAAGCTTGTCCATTAAATCGACATCCAGAGTCCATTGTGTCGAGAGTGGTCCTCAGGCTTATCGTTTTACAATGTCCCGCCTGCTAATTCTGGTGCCAGGCTTAGAGGCTATCGAGAAGACCCAAGGCAGTCAAAGAGGGTGAGACTGAAGAAGCGAGGCCGCGAACGAAGGCGGCAGGGACGAGACGGCAAGTGGAGACTGCTGAGGGAGCATGAAGCAGTTGTAACTCCAAGATGAAGCATGGAAAGCGATGAAGAAACCTTGCCGTCATTTTTCCCGTTTCGTTCTTGTTCTAAAGGGAACGTTGGTAGACACGGGCCATAGGACCAGCTACTTCGGAAGGGGAGTAGAGTTCGTTTAGTGTAGCTGCACTTGCGAACGGATCTCACGCTCGAGGTGGTGCAGAGTGTCTAGCAAGAGAAGCAGTGCTGTTCGATTACAGCACACATGTGACCACAAGCATAGCGAACCGGTTCCCGACACCTGTACTGTCTAGGTATGTTGCACAATGGAACTGAACGGAGTGAGATCATAGGGGAAAATTTGTTACAGCTTGAGGTATGGCTTCTGACCTGAATACTGGGAGAAGCACGTTGGTAGCAAGGCATCTTCCCTCCTTGTTTTGACGGGAGATCATAGTATTGCCCAGTTCAGCTTCCCAGAATCCTTCTTGTGTTGTTAGTAGTAAGTGGTTTCATGAAAGTAAATCCCCAAGCTCCTACCTAACCTTTATAGGCGCGTCATTTGAAACGCATTGATGGAAGAGCTTGAACATTCAGGAAGGTCGTGGCTTTCAGCTTCTGGGTTCTGGTCACCCATACGGTTCATTTGATTCCAGTTCCTGTCCTGCACATTCCATATTAGCATTTCCTGTCGCTCGTAACTGCCTTTCTTACTCGCAACCACGAGGATGTAGCGCCTTAGCAGTGCTTCTAAGGGACATGGAAACATTGTTGCAACTGCTCCTGGTATCTAGGTCCACGTTAGGAGTTCAGTCTTTCAGCACTAACAATCTTGATTTTTGCATTGTCAGGCGCATATGATTCTGCTCTTCGCGGTGTGGTCTCGAGATGGCAAAACACTCTCGGGGTAAGAGTCGTGGATCGTTGTCCATCTTTTCGCTTGATGCTATCCGCTCACGGGGCTGGGCAGGATCTAGACAAGGTGTGCTTTTCGCAAATCATTCGATTGCTTTCTAACACGTATCGGTAGCCTGTCGGTTGCTAGAGGATGACGATCAGCCGAAGAACCTGCAAATCAAGCCAGACCAAATGCATAGCGCAGCTCAGATGGCAGATCCTCTTCTTCGACCATTGTCTCCCACTCCGGCTTCGAGCATTCTTCAAATATCGAATCTAGGTCCTGTTACTCTTGCCGAACCGGAGGATATCGCCGGACCATGCCGACAAGTCATCTCAGATGCACAAAAGCGAAGCTTCTCAGAGCTGAACGAGAAGGAGGTCGAAACCCCTCCTAAGCATCGACCATTGTCATGGCTACCTCCAGGTGAGACTTCTGGTAGACCTTCACACCTGCCCACCAACAACACCGCTTCGACCGTGGACAGAAGCATGATCTCTGCCCCTGTTCTTACAAGCACGACCAATGCAAAAGTTGCCTTGACTGAAGGAGTGCATTGTGGCAAAATAACAACGTCTGGCCTTGCAACCTCTTCTTGGCATCCAAAATCAGGCTGGGTCGCTACCGAGGATGCTGAAGACCATGCTAAAGACCAGGCTACTAAGTTGCAAGAACAGAAGACTAGGGACGGTCAAATATTGCTCCCCTCTCAGCATTCGAACGGATTCCACAAGATGTCCAAACGATCGTCTAAGCGTTCAGCAAGCATAAATAATGCTCTGTCTAAAGTGAAGGAGGCGTTGACGAGCCGTTTGCGACAAGCTAGTGATCCTCAAACTTATCGCTCAGTTTTCAGTAGAGATAAGTTTGTGCGTCTTGGGGATGATTGTCAGCCACAGTCTCCTGTCAACGATAAGCCTGGCCGCAGTGGAACAGAAGTGCAGAATTTGGGTGCAGACCACAGCAGGGCGCTCAGTGACCGCGGGCAAGTCAAAAGAAAGCCTATGCAATGCCAAGGGCATGATATCCAGGATCCTCCGAAGGAGGGAAAACGTCCGTTCTTGATTGAAGTGGATGATAGTGCTAAGAATGGTTGCTATTGCGCAGATCAAGAACAACACGCAGTGGATTTTCACTTTGAAGATCTGGAGACCTCTTTCGCTAAAGCTGTCGAAAAGCTTGACTTCCGCATCAGGGGAGACAAGGTATCACTTACTTCATTATCATCCATTTTTCAGTCAGGAAAAAACATCTCTGCGCCAAACAAAACGAGAATTGTACAGCCTACACAGGGTTTAGCTCGTGTGCCCTGTCTTCAACTCCCAGCAAACGCAGGTCACCCTCCACAAACGTTGTCACAAGATTCGACTTCCAACAAGCTTGCAACAGACCAGCCAAGTATGGGGCAATGCGCGAGCTGCGCACTTTCGTGCAGTTTCGGTCATGCCAAAGCACCAGCAGAGGTCTATTCCACTCCCTATCAGATGGATCCAGTCCCTAGTCAAGAGCTCGACAATTCAGATCGCGCTGCACGTGCAGAACGGATCTTTTCTCGCGGTCACTTGAATCCTCTAGCCAGCCATCCAGATTTGACAAAATTCGCAGAGCAACCAAGTCCGACAATGACTGACCCAGACGTCCCTCCCACTCCGACACCGACTAAGCCAAAGATTCCTTCGTATACAGAAACAGCAGGCGTCCAGCTTACACATACAAAGCCTGATCTCAACGACTTGGAAGGTGCTCCTATCTACTCTCCATCCATCGGAAGTCTTGGTCAATACGATCGAAACACGCCTTCATCCGCGTCGGCCAGTGCGAACTTTTCATCCCACAAGCTTGGTGCTGCGAGCAGTCGAAGACCCCTCCTCGAAACTCCTACTAGGCCACCAAGACGTGGTACAGACAGGCGCCACATGGCTTCGAAGAATGACCACCATCGATCAAGAACATTTCCAAATCAGGCATCCCCAAATCAAGCATGGCACGGACCTAACAAGAACGATGAAAATCGTGGGTCTCGCCCAGGCATCATGCAAGCACGAAACGTCAGTGATGGAGGTGAAGAGAAATCGGAAAGAACTCTCGAAACCAGAAACCAAAACCTGATGAGCGAGACCCATTGTGTTGGTGACAAGATTCGGAGCGGCCTTGGCGCCAACACAAGTGCTAGCAGAGCGATCATCGAGAGCAGCGACAGGAATGGGACCGGTTGGATTTGAGAAGTGATGAGATTGTGTTGAGAGACATGAGCCTGGGCAGGCCAGCTGGGGAGGGATGAGGAGTTTAGCGAACAGCATCTTGGATGGGGGGCAGGTTGACAGGGCTTCAGGCGGGTCTCTACTCTCGAAAACTCGGCTTATGAATGTGGTAGTGGAACTGCGATCGATCCGTCACACGTCTGAGCTCTATGCGCAAAGTCATCGAGCTGGCAGAGCATCAATGCTGAAATTGATGACATGAACATGGTTACTTCTCACAGACTGTAAATAGCCGTCTTTGATACAAATCAGAAAAGCCTGGTGGGGCGCTCAATCAGCTGCTCCTGCTCTTGCATATGCCGGCTCCTGCTACATCTGACCTGTGAAGCATGTACACACGTTGATGGGAATTGGTATGGTCAACTATCCTTGATCCCAAATCTGCCGCAGACCTTTGCGTTACCGACTGGGCAAATATTAGTATAGATCAATGCTGTTTCTTTCCACACGTCAACGAGGGTTGGACTTTCAGCAGGAGCTACTACCAGTAGCACTATAGAAGTTCAATAGGTTACGGACAAATGGGTCTGGACTTATTGTCATTACGAGCTCTGTTAAGCAGGATTGGCCAGATATCAGAAGAGGAATGAAATGAAACGGCGAAACGGCGAAACGGCGAGTGGAGTCAAGTGACATGCTTGGTATACTACGGGGGGGCATAAGTATTGTTAGGCTGGTGCTAGTAGCGGCTACTTAAAAATGAACGTTCAATCTAATCTGGGATTAACTGTCTTGTAGTACAAAAGACGTTTTCTAGTGAAAATACTAGCGCTGAACAAATAGTACTTCATGTCCCCGTAGTAATGCCAGGATGCAATTAGTTAAGGCATAATAATAATCATTGTACATGGATAGTGGTTGGAATTAGGATTGATGGGCTTTTAATGGGCTCTTATGCTGTAATTTAGCTAACTGCTTGCAATCTCCTTAAGCCTAGCTGGTTGCCAAGCGTTCAGTCCTCTGGTCCAAAAATGCATGCTAAGAAGTAGGCCCCCCCCAAAGCCTACTACGTTAGAAAGTGCCATAGTAGTTAGTGAGAACGGCCGGAGCCTCTTTCAAGGCGCGGTCGGTAATCTGCAAGTCCCCCCTTGTTCCATCGTCCCTCTGCACGAAACAATCAAACTCTGTACCTTTATGCCCCATGACTTGTGCCACAATAACATCTCTGTTGCTCCTGCTGACGGCACCCGAGCCTTGACCTTCTTCATATCAAGATCCTCGCCCTGTCATCTCCTGCTGTCATCTCCTCGACCTGGGGTTTGTTTCTACCCGGAACAACAGAACCCCTTCAGTGGTCGAAAACTGGCCCCTTTCCTGCCCGCCCCGGGACCAAGACTGGAGTTAGCCGTCACTTCAAAAGTCAACCTGATCTCTTCCAGCCTCACCGCCCAATCCCGCTTCCGCATACGCGCTTCACAGCCTCAAGCTGTAGCATCTGCTACACTCAATACCCACATGCTGAAAAGCGCATGATCCATAACTCTTCTTTCAAAGACCGATTCCCTCGCGGGGAGGATACTTGTCCCCCCTCGACCAGCTGTTTGCCTGTTGCAACTTGTCCAAAAAGTCTCATCCAGCTGCCGTGAGTCAATCCAAACCCTGTCCTTGGAATGACGCTGTTGAATATGAACAGCCATGCTCGAATGCACATCTAGGCTTGATTGTGCTTCTTCGCTGCAATCATCAATGCTAACACTGGACAAGTAGTTTATTACATCTTCGTTTGGGTTACCTTGGACCTACCACAACCGCTCACGTTCCCCTTGCTACAAAAATACAACATATACTCCCCCACTTACCGCATCGATCCACGTGTTATGGCGTCTTCTTCATCAAATGTTGTTGGTGTACACTACCGCGTGGGAAAGAAAATCGGAGAGGGGTCATTCGGTGTCTTATTTGAGGGCACCAATCTGCTGAACAATCAGCAAGTCGCGATTAAATTCGTATGTTTTTGAGCTTGTGCTCTAAATAAACGTGTGATGTTGACTGTATACAGGAACCTAGAAAAAGTGATGCACCACAGCTACGGGACGAGTACCGGACATACAAGATTCTTGTAGGGTGCCGTAAGTTGCTCTGTTCCCAACATTTACCCCATTCTAATCATGTCCAGCCGGCGTTCCCAACGTCTACTATTTTGGTCAAGAGGGTCTTCACAATATCCTCGTTATCGACCTGCTAGGACCTAGTCTCGAAGATCTGTTTGACCACTGCAATAGGAGGTTCTCCATCAAAACAGTAGTGATGGTTGCAAAACAAATGGTGCGAAGGATCATTTCACTAACCTCCATTTTACTAACGTCTGTTAGCTCTCACGCGTCCAAACCATTCACGAAAAAAACCTCATCTACCGCGACATCAAGCCAGATAACTTCTTGATCGGTCGGCCGAACACCAAAGCAGCCAATGTCATTCATGTCATCGACTTTGGAATGGCAAAACAATACAGAGACCCAAAGACCAAACAGCATATTCCGTACAGAGAGCGCAAATCGCTCTCGGGAACGGCAAGATACATGAGCATAAACACACATCTGGGAAGGGAGCAGTCACGAAGGGATGATTTGGAAGCTTTGGGACATGTCTTCATGTATTTCTTGCGTGGGGGCCTACCTTGGCAAGGCCTGAAAGCTGCTACCAACAAGCAAAAGTACGAAAAAATTGGAGAAAAGAAGCAGACTACGGCAATTAAGGATCTATGTGATGGCTTTCCAGGTATGTCGAGATTGAGGACGAAGCTCCTGATGGTACACTAACTCTTCGGCAGAGGAATTTAATCACTATCTCAGCTACGTCCGCAATCTTGGTTTTGAGGATACGCCAGACTACGACCACCTCCGAGATCTCTTTACTCAAGCTGCTCGGAACGCACACGAACTCGAAGATGGAGAGTATGACTGGATGAAACTGAACGGAGGCCGAGGTTGGGAATCAAAGAGCTCCGGCGCAGGCAACCATCACCACGCAGTCAACGCGGCTCCTGAGGCCTCGAACCGGGCATTAGTTGGTGCTCCGGGAGTTCGCGGTGTTGATGGCAGACCTTCAAAGTCCGATGTACGTGGTGCAATTTCGGCTGATCGTTTAAACGCCGCGCAGCCCCCGCCCCCAGGCTCACCGGCGAAGCCCGGACAAGCAGCCCTGGGGAAGACATCACGCGATCGAGGAAACGTATCCGGCGCGGGGGCGAATCTGCCGAAGAGGAGTAGTGGACTTGCTGTACAGATAAATGCTACTACGCCATCAACGAGCATGCAGGCACAGATGCAGACCAGTAATCTAGATTTGGCCTCACCATCGAGGCCGAGTCCGGCGGCCGGAGCTCTGCAAAACAGTCAAGGACGTGCGGTGAATGGACAGCAGCAAGAAGCGCAACCGACCTTCTTTCAGAAATTTATGAAGACTCTATGTTGTGGTGCGTCGAGATGAGTCTTGTAAGCCAGTCATGACTGGTCTGGCTTTCGGCTTCAGCTGCGTGCGAAACATAAGGCGAAGACCATACCTGCAAAGCGTTGCTGGTCTCGCATATCACTCTACGAGAACCAAGATCCAAAAAGCTCATTTCTAACCATTCTTGGTCACGGTTAATCTCTGTCACAATGAATCCAACCTCTCTTCCTCGAGAAGGGTGTGTAACATCAACAATCGTTAGCGCTGTGTGGCCACGAAACGACACTTCTTTTTGGTGGTCCACTCTCTACATTTCAAGCACGCAAACGACACCCACGGTCCGCTTGGCCCTTGGGCCTCGATCTCGGCCTTCACCAGCAGAAGGCATTCTCCCGCATCCTCATCTCCTGGCTTTGCAGCACTCCAACTTCGCCAACAATTCATTAACTGGAGGCACGATGAGATCACGACCGCTTGCTCGCTCTTCCATACCTTTTTGTTCTTGTGCTCTACTTCTTTCCGTATCTTCTTCAGGTTCCGTCCCGGTCAGGAAAAAAAGGCGCTACTTAGTTACAGGCATCCTCGTCTTCACTGCTGCATATCTGTTGGGATTTTTCAACTTGGGCGTGCCTCGTCGTGTATTATTGTATGCATAGTACGAAAATAAGAGAAGGCTCGACAAGACGCGAGAGAAGGGGAGGACAGACAAAGGGGTCAGCGAATAAGGTGGTCAGGACCAGTTAGTTATCTAGTTCTTGAGCAGGCTCACTGGATATAAAGCTGGAGCACTGGCCCGCGTAGCAGTACAGATCGCTAAAATTCTTCTCTTTTGCCTCAGACGATGCTCTTAATGTGACTTCTCCAGACGGTGATTGCATTTTTTTGCAAAAGTTTTTAACTGGTAACTGAAGGTTGCGGTGTTCTTTCTATCTTTCTTTTCTTCTTCATCTTTTAACTTCCTTGTTGAAAAGACTCTGCTGGGGAAGGAGACAACAAGTTACAAGATGATGATGATGGCATGGTGGATGGATTCCATGGTCATGGCCATACTATAACACGGAAGTAGAAAGAAAGGGAGACAAGAGGGGAGTGATGATGAATGGTGTACAACTATTTAAATTTTGTTTCTAAATGATCCATGAGGAGTAGTGTTGTTATGAGCTATCCCTTTCCCTTTTGTTCGCCTTTGTCGCCTATAAGATGCGGTGTTTGAACTCCATTGCTATGCATGCCGATAGCCCCAGAATTTTGCTGAGTGGAGGGACGGGTGATGTACAACAAAGCTTCTTCAACAGAGAACGAAATGTCAGCGGCTTTTGATATCTCCGGACGGTTGGTGCATCACCAACTCAAAAAACTCCATCGCCATGCCAATGCCACGTCAGGCCTGGTGCTCTACCAGCCAGGCCCGCATGAATTTTGGAGATGAAATAAACAAGAGGCAGTACCGAGGGAAGGGTAAGAACGAGCATTTGGTTTTATCCCCAAGCGGCAAAAACTGGCCGTTTAACCTCCACCAGTATCCAGTGGCGGCGACTCCGTCAAAACCTCCAACCCATCGTCCTTCCTCACAACCGTGGCAATACCTCCCGTCCTCAACTGTCCCCTAATAATCTGATCTGCAAGTTTATTTCCAATCTCCCTAGCGATTAACCGATTCAACGGTCTAGCCCCATACCTTGGGTCATATCCCTTTTCACAAAGCCATTCCTTGACGTCGTCAGAGACGTGAATAGTCATGCGGCGATCATCAAGTCGGGACTGCAGTTCCCGCAGACGGATATCGACGATATCGCGAAGGGCAGAACGTGAGAGTTTATTGAAGATGATGAACTCGTCGATGCGATTAAGGAATTCGGGCGGGTAGGAGGACTGCACGATTTCCATAACAGCTTTCTTCATTTCGGGGGTCACGGATTCGGAGTCCTGCGTCTTAATGGCTGATGACTTGGATTGTGTGAGGAAGGGGTCCGAGTTGGAGCCGACAAGGATCTCTGCGCCTAAATTGGATGTCAATACGATGAGGGTGTTGCGGAAATCGACCTTGTGTCCTTGGGCGTCAGTGAGGAAGCCTTCGTCCAGGACTTGGAGGAGGAGGGCGGAGATGTCGCGATGCGCCTTTTCGAATTCGTCGAAGAGGAGAACAGCATAGGGTTTTCGGCGAACGGCTTCGGTTAGTTGACCTGCATCTTCGTAGCCAATGTAGCCTGCTGTTGCGCCGATGAGGCGAGAGATGGTGTACTTCTCCTGGAATTCACTCATGTCAAAGCGGATCACAGCAGTCTCAGTTGAGAAGAGGAAATTGGCCATCTTCTTGCACAGCTCTGTTTTACCTACTCCCGTTGGACCAAGGAACATGAACGAGCCGAGAGGTCTGTTCTCGCCATTCAAGCCCGCTCGTTGCATTCGCACAGCGTTGGCGACGGCATGCAAGGCTTCGTCTTGGCCCCGAATAGACTGTTGCAGGATCTCTTCCATATGGACAAGCTTCTCGACTTCGCCTGCCATGAGTTTGTTGACAGGAATGCCGGTCGTGCGACTGACCACATTTGCGATATCGTCAGCGGTTACAGAGTCATGGATGAAGGATTCACCAGACTTCCCATCGGCGCTCGCAGCACCATCTTGGGGTATTTGAGCTTCCAGCTTTGGAATTGTGGCATATTGCAGTTCACCAGCTTTGCCAAAGTTCCCTTCTCGCCGAGCCTGATCAAGTTCATGCCGCGCTTTCTCGAGCTCTTCCTTTGTACGCTTGATGACCTCTATTTCGGCACGCTCCTTATCCCAGATCTCTGTCAAGCGTGCGACTTCCTTCTGCTTATCAGCTAGCAATTCTTCAAGCTTGGTCCGCCGCTCTTTGCTGGCAACATCCGTTTCTTTGCGCAAAGATTCAAGCTCGATTTGAATTGTCATGATTTCTCGGTCGAGCTTTTGAATGGCGTCCGGCTTTGATTCTTGCTGCAAGCGTAGGGCGGAGGCAGCCTCGTCGACAAGATCAATGGCTTTATCAGGGAGAAAGCGGTCAGTGATGTAGCGGTTGCTGTAGGTCGCAGCGGCAACGAGAGCACCGTCCGTAATACGAACCCCATGATGGACTTCATAACGGTCCTTGATACCTCGAAGGATGGAGATTGTATCTTGCACAGATGGCTCGCCGACTTGTATTGGCTGAAATCGTCGGGCTAGCGCAACGTCCTTTTCTATCTGGCGGTATTCATTCAAAGTCGTCGCACCACAGCATTGCAGCTCCCCTCTTGACAAAGCAGGCTTCAGAAGATTGCTGGCATCGATTGATCCTTCAGCTTTGCCCAGACCAAGTAGTGTATGAAGCTCATCGACAAACAAGATGACGCCACCATGGGCATCTTCAACTTCTTTCAGCACAGATTTAAGACGTTCTTCGAAATCTCCGCGATACTTCGCCCCGGCTATCAACTGCCCTAGATCCAACGCCACAACTCTTTTGTTCTTGATACTCTCTGGTACGTCGCCTCGAACGATTCGTTGTGCAAGACCTTCCAAGATAGCTGTCTTTCCTGTGCCAGCGGCACCAATGAGCACCGGATTGTTCTTTGTCCTTCTGGACAGAATTTGTATCGTTCGATGGATCTCGCCATCTCGACCAATGACGGGGTCCAACTTGCCAGCCTTGGCCCGCGCGGTCAAGTCGACACCATACTGTTCAAGAGCAGGCTTTTCAGGTTCTCCTCCAAGATTCATGCGATGCGTTCCGCCTGGAGGGTGTGGTCTACCATTCGCATAGTGACGAGCAGCATGGTGTGTGATTGCCGGAGCCTTTGGTTGCGTGACCGCTACATTTCGGAGGGAGAGCGAAAGTGGACAAGGAATGACTCTATGTCGAACTGATACTCCGGATGAGAAGGCTCGCCGAGCGAGCACGGGCACTTTGACTACCATTGTAGTAGTTTGAAGCACTCTTCTGGCGAAGCTAGCTTCGCGAACACTGTTGTTACCGGTAGTGAAGGTGGAAGAAGTCCATCTCTGGACGGCAGGCCACTTTAGATGGCAATTTCTGTGGCAGATGAGATCGTTCTGGAATCATCGGTGCTCTCATATGATATACTGGTCCGTGCACTCCGCACCTACTATGTATTGCTAGTATTGCTAAGCTTTCCTTCACTAAGCTCAAAGGGGAATTTCGAAAATCGAGAAGTTTGGCAGCTTCTACGTACAGCACAACGGAATACAAATTTCCTCCACATCTTCGAATTATTGAATCTTGGAAGCCAACAGCAGCCCTCGGTCCCAGAACCTACATCAGTCAGTATGGGCTTCACAGATTTCGTCTCCGACGCAGGTCTCACCCGTATGTTGCAACTACTGCTGCCCACAATACCTCCCACTGACCTGGTAAATAGTCCTGGATAATTGGGTCAAGACTCGAAGCTACATTATAGGGTAGGCTGCAAACGCTGACTTCTTTTCATTCCGCTGCTTTCTGATGAGAACAATTTGGTCCGTGTTGATGAGGTGGATTAAGACCCCACCGAATGACTACTTCCAATTGCAATACATTGCATCCCTGAAGCTTGAAAGATCTGCATTCCAGTCTTATTCAGCTGCAAATCAAAAAGCTGACCAGTCCTAGTTACGGCCCTTCTCAAGCAGATGTCTCGAGCTTTAAAGCTGTTCCCTCGGTTCCCAAGGTTGAGAAATACCCCAATGCCTATCGCTGGTACAACCACATAAAATCCTATGAGCCCGAGTTTTCGACTCTTCCTGGCGATCCATCAAAGAGCTACACCACTTATGGTCCTGAGGCTGTCACGGTCACCAGCAATCCCAAGGACGCCCCGGATAATGAAGAAGAGGAGGAGGAGGAGGATTTGTTCGGAAGCGAAGAAGAAGAAGAGGATGCAGAGGCCGTTGCAGAGCGAGAGAAGAGATTAGCAGACTACAAGAAGAAGAAAGAAGGCAAGGCAAAGCCGGCCGCCAAGTCTATCGTGACGTTGGATGTGAAGCCATGGGGTGAGTTTTCCCATTCCCACTGAAAAAACCCACAGCTCACAGTTGCCAGATGACGAAACGAACATGGACGAACTCACTGCGAACGTAAAGGCCATCGAGATGAATGGACTCGTCTGGGGCGGCCATAAACTCGTGGCTGTCGGTTTCGGTATCAAAAAACTGCAGATCAATCTTGTTGTCGAGGATGAAAAAGTATCTCTCGACGACCTACAGGAAAAGATCGCCGAGGACGAGGAACATGTTCAGTCTACGGATGTCGTCGCTATGCAGAAGCTGTAGACGAGTGTGATCGGTCACGGCACATATTGACGACAACGATGACATACGTTGATTAACAATAACCCACAATCATGAGAGATTCAGGCAGTCATCATAGGCTGTTGAATTTGTGCTTGCACCGAATCTGTTAGACCAGAGCAATTTCTAAGCTACAGGCTGTTCAAGGTGTCATGCAGGTCCCTATTTGAGCTTCTAACACATCTCGTAATTGCATCGGCCCCGTTATCTGACCAGATGGGATGACATATGCTTCTTAGACTATTGCTACGTATGAGGGTAAACAAACAGTGTTGAGTATCCCTTCCTGTGTCGTCTCTTCATCTGCCATAGCATTAACACGAGACACCTGAAGTGGCCTCCTTACCCGTATATAATGCGGAAAGATGTCGAACGAACAACCAGGAATTCAGATCAATCATATAGTTTTCGTCACCGGAAGGACTTGGAAATCGGACAAGCAGTTTTTTATATTAATTTCTGATTTGTTTGGCTAATCTGGACTATTTTCTTCGACTGTGCTATGCTATGCATTGCTCTGCTATATTATTATCTAGAATGCCTTTTATGGCCGAAAAGACAAATTTCCCCGCTGTTCAACCAGGTGCGCCCTGAATGCATATTATCGCCGGCGCTATTTTTCCATCCTCTCCAACATTATCCGGTGAAAAAGTGTAATGATCTCCAAAAAAGGTCGACCTTCAAATATCTGTCCACAAAAGCTCTTACAAGAAAAGGGTGGATGGCACCGGCGGCACCAGTGGCGGAAGCAGGGCCGGTTTCTTCAGAAGTCGAGCTCCCGCTCGTGCCAGAGCCCGAAGTGCCGGTGGTGCGGCTGGCGGTCTGAGTCCTGGTGTTGGTGGCGGTGGCGGTGGCAGTGGAAGTGCTGGTGCTCAGATTACCAGCAGCCGAAGTGCCCTCAACAGCGCTGGAGCTGACCACGGGCAACAGGGTGGTGTTCAAGCCTACCGGAATGCCTGGGGCATTGGACACGTATGTGGCAGCGGGTGACATGGAGGTGATGACGGATGGCTGACTGGTAACGGGAAGGGGTTGCGAGGTTTCTGGGCTGGGTTGCCCGGTGACGACGCCGAGGGAGTTGGTTTGTGTCACGTATGGGTTGGAATAGGAGGAGCTGGAAGCGACTGGGGTGGTGACGGGAGCCTGTGGCTGGCCGTCCGTGATCTGGGTGATGGCTGACACGGTGGATGGGTCCTCTTGAGCGTAGGAGCTGGCGGCGAGGAGGGAGGCGATGACTACCAGGCTGCTTGAGGTGTACATTTTTGGTGGTTGTGTGGGTTTTGGTGAGGATATTTGTAGTGGTATGAGTGGATGGCTGAGTTTAAAGATTGGTAGACTTCGAGCGAGTGTTGATGGTTTGTGATGAAGCGAGAGTTGTTGCTTGTCTACTATTGAATCAAGGAAGACTTTTGTGAAGAATCTGTGTCTGAAGCTGATGAAGGAGAGAAAAAGGACTCAGATTGTCAGCGAGTGTGTTTATGTATGGTGAAAGGGGGTTGGACAGGCGATTAAAGTGGCTGAGTGGGTGCTGGACAAAAGTAGAATGGCAGGGAAGAGTTGTTTAGTGGCTTGCAGCTAGCTACAGATTAGTGCCGCTTTGCCCCTGAGCTTCGCTGGGTACCCTGGCTTGGCTGGAGCCCCTAAGCCTAGATGAGGTTTAGGCTTTCCCTACTACGCGTCCTTTTCTCCAACCGAAATCCAATAGGCTGGAATGCGATTTCTGTATGCTGCATGCTCTGCAGAATTATGCATATTCTCAGCGCCAGCCATGAGATGGTGGGTAAACCGCTGAGCAAAAGGTGGATGAAAAGACTCCGGGAAATGAATATCACTACCAATATATCCAATTTGCAAATTCGTCCTCAGTTGGGCAAGTACGGGCTCCTCAAGCCTGTACCTCGTACCACGTAAGCGTAAGCGAGATGTCAAAATTCAGGCGAGACCAACACATACTACGAAGCATTGACCACCGTAAAAACAGTAGCGATGGTGTTAGTCTGCAAGGCTCTTCGGCCTGATCTGCACAGTGGATCTACCCTCCGGCCGCCCAGCCAGTCCAACCAGCCATCCGAGGACCTGACAAGAGCTTGTTTCAGGATGGAGGTCCACCCAGCCTCCCTTGCAATAATAGATTGTTAATTTACTGGTCCCAGTGTTCAGACTACTCAAACCTCGAGAAAGAACTGGAGTTGGTTCTGACGGAGTCCGTACTACGTAGTACTTGAGTAATGAAGGAGGCGAACACTACCCAAGTGAGACACGTTGATCTCGACGCGGCAGGATGGCAACTATCACCACTGCACCAAGAGGTTGATTTCATGCAATCCCTAGCAGTGGGATGGTGGGCAATGTTGAACTAGTCTGCGTGTCTTACTTCGTACGCTTACAAGGCTAGTCAGTCCGATGAAGTAGAGACAAGTTTGGATCGAATATGTCATGTCGACAAAATTTGTAGATATGATCAATGCTATGATGATAATTAAATGCAAACAAAGTTCCAATCGCTTGCCTATGCTGCTCCCAACGCAACGCTTGCTAATGCATCAGAGGCGGACGATCGAGCCAGGGGCTTCTATTTATGTATGTCGTCGTAAGACTTTATAGCCTGCGGAGTCCTACGCGAGGCTGTGCTCTGGCCTTAATCGAACCCAGGTTGGAGACTTTTCGCAGCGTAGGTCGAATAGTTGCTGTATCTGAGATCGGGCCTCGATTTGGGATCTTCGTCATTTCGGAGGCATTCTTGGTGTCTATGGCCTCGAGGTTTTCTTTTTCGTCGTCCGCACCAGAAGGAACATTATTCACACGAGGGTCAGGTGCGCAAAGTTCATCAACTGCTCCCTCTCTCCTTCTACTAGAGATATTCGCGACGGCCAATGTCACTGCTAGCCTGGGCGACTTCTTAGGAGGACCGAAAGAAGAAGCAGCGCAACTCTGGCTGTCCTGATTCACCGCAATGTTCTTCTCCGACTCTGTCATACCTTCCTCCAGATCCGTTGGGGTTGGGAGCTCAGAGAGAGGACGCTTTCCCAGGACGTTCTTGCGCGGACTTCGAGGACTCTCTATGACTGGAGAAGGGATTTGAGATGGATCATTCTCTTTGCATGGATCATGATCTTCCTCGTCCTCTGACAACTCGTAACTCTCGCTATCCACTGGTTGGCGGATTGGAGATAACGCATAAGGCTGCGGGTGAGTAGATGGAACCCTTTGTAAAAGCGAAGACACTGGATGCGATTTCAACTTCAAGGCTGCCGGGGTGGCTTCCTTTTCTGCATGATCACTTAACCGATCTTTCTCTTCTCCTCGCCTTCTTGCAGCATCAACTGCGTGACGCAGATGGGCAGGTATGCGCGCATGTATGGAAGTCATGAGCCTTGCCTGCTCCGCAAAAGCTCCGTAGTCATCTTGCAGCAGTGATCCCGCGGCTGAATTGAGGGCAGAGTCAGGGTTCGGATGAATGAGGAGACACGAAATTGTCTGCGCATCCAGTCAGTTAAAGGCCCAAGATGGTGGCATAAGATGAAAACATACAAGCAGAATGTCTCTTAACGTCAGCTTCGGGTCCCAGTCCCTCTTCAACGTTTCTAGACAAACAGCGCCTGTGGATTCCTCCACATTCGGATGCCACAGACGTGTCTTGAATGTAGCTCTTGGGGGGTCCTTTGGATAATCATTTGGCATTCGTAGCTGGAGCTGCCATAGTCCTTGGGCATACGGGGTGTCTTGCGCTCCAGTCAAGAGGACTGTAAGTTGTGTCAGGTCGTCCGGAAGAATTGAGGTCTCTTGATTCGGAGGGAAGAGGTAGCGTGGTGGGAGGCCAGACCGCCGTAATGAGGCGTGGTCGGATGCAAGACGGCGAAGAGAGGATGACTACGGCGCCGTGTTAGCATTGATCCAGCAGCTGCCTACCCACATAACTCTGGTAGCATCAGAGGTGGCACAGCTTGCTCAACTTACCATCCTCACTCAGTCTATTATTAGTATTATGTTTTGGAGTTAAGGTAGGGTTTGAATGAATATAATGTCAGTCGTAGGATGCAGATGGTCAATGGAGATGAATGAGCGTTCAATGCTTCATATAACATCTTTTGTTGTTGTTGATGTGGACGTGTTTGCAGCTTTTCGCGAGAACCACTATCGTCAATCACGCCAAGACAGGTTAGCCTGAGCTTGGCTAGCTGTTGTACCAATAATTTGGGTCATGTAGTACTACTAGTACTACTAGTACTTCGGCATTGAAATGCTTGCTTACTAGGTGATCTAGGTGTACCCCCACATGGCCACACAAGTCTACAATCTTGCATATCCAGGTTCCATTTCACAACAACTTGACATTAACGCTCACTATTGACTTTCTTTACTCGCAAAAGTTGATAGGCAAAAGTTGATAGAAGTCGTATCTGTGCAGTTGAGGAGCTGCAAGGGCAAGTTGGTTGGCGAAGCAGGCACCACAAAACCCAGCAACGATTGTAACTAAGTTGTGCCTTGAACCAAATTCTCAATGCCTGGGTACATATGTCTCACATTTTAGATCCAGAGTCCCTCAGACATATCCGTAGATAGTACTCCGTACAGTGTACAAAACCGAATGTTTATGTGAAGGTTGCGAGAATACCAGCATCATTCGGTCTAGGCAGATCTCACAAAACGGTTTCGCTGCATAGTTCTTTGATTCCTAATCGGTACCCACCTTGAGATACGTGAAACTTGAAAGCTACCACTGTGACGGAACGCTGGAAGATGTCTTCCCGGTGCATGTGAGTCTTGGTACCAGTTGGCCTACTGGCAGTGCTCAGGTGTCTATACTAGCCAATGATTCTGTCGGTGTTGCGGTGCGACTTGACACTGCTAGTGGCACTTTTTACGAGGCACTGCAGCCAATTGGCCAGTTCGGGCCTTGGCAGACACTTCAAGCTTAGTTCTACGTACCTAGTACTACTTAGTACTTCAGCTCCCACTTACCCTGCAGGGCTGACCTTCAGCGACTGCCACGCTCGCATGTACAACAACAAAATGACCATCGGCACTGCCAGACAGAATTTGTGCACCATGAGCGGAGCACCGGCTCCTCCTTTGTTCGTTCGAATGCTGAAACCTTCATCTACCAAGGACAGGATTAAAATTGGACGCCCACCATATTCCTGTGTTGTGCATCTCCGTTGCTCGTTTGTTGGCTGGTGCCTATATCTTCCATGCTATCGTCTTCGTCATCTGCGCCTTCGTAAGTAATGCAGATTGGCTCTCGCGACTAACGTGCTCGAATCTACTACCAACTGGGGCAGCTCCTATGCCGTGTCATGGCGTCCCAACTTCGGCCATTCCGAGTACCGGAGAGGTCTCGTGGTGACGATAATCTTGCCCTGGTTCACGTCAATACACAGAATACAACACCCGCTGCCGCCACAACCCAGCCTCGGAGGAAGAGAGCTAGCAAGCCCAAGGTACGAACGGGCTGCACAACCTGCAAAATCCGTAGAGTCAAGTGCGACGAGATAAAGCCGAGTTGCAATCGATGTACCTCTACCGGGCGTAAGTGTGACGGGTACGAGTACACCAGAGACCAGCCTTCCTCTTCGACGGCATTGACAGTGCCTTGTCCTCCCAGGGCCCCGGCAACTCAATCCCAACTCTTCCTCCCCTCCTCCCTATCTGTAACCTTTCCTGGCAATGCCAAGGAACGCCGCATCTTCCATTATTTCCAAGTTCGTACTGTCCCGGCATTTGCAGGATCTTCTGAACTTGACTTTTGGAATAATCTGGTCCTAAAAGTGGGCCAGCAGGAGCCTGTGGTGCATAATGCCATTGTGGCGCTTAGCACACTGCATGAGGATTACCAAAATCGCAATGGCAGATTCAGCCAGGACATGAACACTGACCCGTCCTATCGAGAAGCACTGGTCCTCTATGGGAAAGCCTTGCGCCAATTGAATGACCGGCTTGGCAAAGAGGACCGGATGAGTGCCGAACTTGCCCTTATATCAAGCATCCTCTTCACCTGCTTTGAAGTTCTGCGACGGAATAACATGTCAGCGGTCATCCACTACTCGGCCGGAATGAAAGAACTTGCTCGACAGATCAAGAAGTCTCGCGAAGACGAAGCGGCATCATCCCAGTCTCTGTCAGCGATACCTGAGTTCCAACCAATCCCTCAAAGTGAACTTGACGTTCTCTTTCGAGTCTTCGCCCGCTACGACATTCAAGCATGTACCTTTTCCAAACCTCGAGCCGAAGCCCTGTCCCTTCATCTGTCCTCGCAACCACCACCTTTCATGAACCTCACGGAAGTCAAGATACATCTCGATAATCTCCTTATCTCTGTCTACCAACTCATCAAATCCGACTTGCCCAAGTATCGCTATTGGGACGCTTCCAGTGTGCCACCTGAATGGCTCGTCCGTCACAATGAAGCTATTTACACGTTCGAAGCCTGGCTCACGTCCATCGAATCCTTCCTTCAGGATCCCAGTCCCAATCTCAACCCGGCCGCCCCCACCACCAACACATCTCTCATCCTCCCACCCCACGAGGCCAAAACACTCTTAGGCCTGCGCATGCAAGTGAAAGTCGCCCTCATCATCCTGAAAACCAGCATTGCCTCCCCTACAGAAACAGCCTTCGATGGCTTCCTGCCGGACTTCGTCGAAATCGTAACCCGCATCGAGGATCTCGCTGATTCCTTGTCCTTGCCTGAAGCGGCACCGCTAGACAACGAATCCACTGCCTTCACCATGGAATTGGGTATTATACATCCGCTGTTCATTGTCGCGACGAAGTGTCGGGATCAGGTGGTGAGGAGGCGGGCAATCAAGGCGTTGAAGCGCGCAGGCAGGGAGGGTGTATGGGAGGGCCCCGTGGCTGCAGTTGTGGCGGAGTGGGTGATGGGCACCGAGGAGGCGGGTTTACAGGGGTCCGAAGGGGAGGTGGTGCCGGAGAGGACGAGGATCCACGACATCAGGAAGGATGTGGATTATGAGGGAAGGAGGGTGCTGGTAGAAGCTAAAAGGTCAATGGATCAGAGCGGATGGAAGGTCTGGGAGACGATTAGGGAGAGTGTACCGTTTTGAGGGATTTGCGCATCGTTCTGTTACTCTAGTACTTTTTCTGTTGTATTAGACTAGTACCCGCAAGCTCAGGCTTTGGCTAAATAGTTTTTCCTGCGAGTCTGGCATCTTCCTTGGTTTACTACATTACTACCTCTCGAACTCATGTTCATGCTTCTGCATAACTAATTACTTCGACAGAAAATGATGAAGACGTTCTTTTTCTTGGAGGGTTCCAGCGTAATGAAGGCCCTTTCGTCTGCTCCGTTTCACGATTCACATAGACCAGCAGCGCATTACTGGATTTACTGGTCAGGAGTCGCCTTCTGGCTGCTTTCTGACTCGTCATCCCTTACAGATAAGTTGGACAGTTGTTACAATTTTTTTTTAAAAACCCCACAACAACATAGTCACTAGTCATACCCCATATCCAGGTGCTTTAGGGCGTGGTGGGAAGGCTGGTTAAATGGTTGATGTCGAATTAGGAGTATTTTAGTAACTACTCTGTCCTTCGCCCCAATCACACTGCTTATTTCATAACACGTTTGGTTGGCGGTGTCTACGGTGTATGAAGCTGGGGGCAGGGTTTCTCTACCTCAACAACTCGATTCACTAGAATTTAATTGCTGCCACCACCACCATCTGAGACCAAATCCAATTGGCCGTTTACAATTTTCGATGGAGTTCTCCGATACGAGGGTGTAAATTGAAGAACACGAATGTCTCCCACAAGCCAGAGAGATAGAGGGGAAGAGAGAGAGAACGTGTGTGTGCGCCCACGCAAAAGAGAGAATCAAACTCTGAATTATTATGATGATTTTCCTCTTCCTAAACCACGGACTTGAAACTGCTATTGGTCTAATGATCACATGATAAGAGCTCACCCCGTTCCACATCCTAGTATCGAAAGTTGCTACCGCCGACTGCTCAAGCGTGCTGTTCAGCATCCTCTCTAAGCATGTAAGCGCTATCATAGCAAGCTGAGCCACATATAATGAGCGACACAGGCATATCTGGTAGGTCCTTGAAGGCGTGGATTGAGGGGCACCACTGCCTGGTGTGACTTATGTTGGAATCAACATGATCACAACGCATATGGATTCATGGAACGAATTGTCAAGCATCTATCGTGAATATCAGTCAAGGCAGCACCAGCACTGGCAATACTCTACTTACGGAGGACTTTTGGTGAGATCCGTCTTGAGGATAACAGGTATCCGGGTCATCTCTGTCACGTCTTGGATGTATTCACCATCCACTTCTCTCAGTGCAAAATAACTCAAATATCTTTCTTTGTTGCTCAACTTCGCTTCTGGTGCCTCGGCTGCAGAAACTGCTATCTTGGAATCGGATTGAGTTCGATGCGGGGCGGGAGGAGGGCCACCGTTGCGGGTAGGTGATGGAGGCATGCTTTGAGTAGAACGGTCAACTGGAGAGTTCAATGCCACACCAGCAGCCATCTCGGTGACTTCGGACATGGAATCGTCCTCATCAAAGAGCGCCTCCACGTCATCGGGTGACATGGTGCCGGTGTCAGTCTGCCGACGCTGAACCTCTATTCTTTCTTTCGCATTTTGCTTGGCCGTCTGAGAGGCGGCCGAGGCGTTGTTCGATCGGTGGCTGGATTTCTCCTTTGGTCTCTCGTCTTCTGGAATGTATGCTGAGGAAGGAACACCCTTCTCCCAGTAAAGCTCTAGAACACGTTCCGTTTTGCGGTACTCTGCTTTCTTCAGTGGTAGCTGATCACAGTGCACTCGCTTTTCGAATCCATACTCCGGTATGAGCACATCGAAGGCGGATTCATAGACACAAATGACGATGCCTTCACCGATAAGATCTCCACCAAGCTCTTGACGCTTCTTGTCCATCATACGGCAAGACTCGATGTGGACGCTCTGCTCCTGCGCAGATTGGGCCGAGTCTTTCTTCGTGTTGCACTGCTCGGCGGTCTTGGAAAGGTTCTCAGCATCTTCCGTAAAATCAACTGCTCCGTTGGAGAGAGCCGCATCAAGCTGTCGGTGGACAACGATGTCGGCATACCGTCTGGTCGGATTTGTGAAGTGGGCATACAATGGTAGGTTAAGAGCATAATGCTGACGTTGCTGCTCTGTCACGAATTTCGGAACATAATATTTTGCTCGTTGCATTGTCTTGATAAGTAAGGTTTCCATACCCTTGCGAAGGTCAGCATCTCGCACTTTGAAGAGGCTATTTAGCAAAGCTCCACTGCTGCTCGTATCAATGTCATAGCCAGCCTTGGTCATTCTTTCGGCAAAGGTCTGGAGGCGTCGAGCATTGGGGGAAGCCTGTCGTCGCAGAAAAGCGGTTTCCGGGAAGGCTGCCAAAATTTTCTGGGCAACAAAGGCATTGGCCTTGTGACTCAGCTCTTCGATAATCTCGTGCGATGCTGACGAATCAAAGATGTTGTGTTCCACGGGCACGTTCTCATCGTCAAGCTGGTGGAGGAGGCGCAGTGGTGGCAGATATGCAGATCGACTGCCATAACGGCTTTCGCGGAACCTATTTGCGATAGTATGCAATGATCTGATGTCCTCGGCGGTAGCACCATGGAGCTTCACATCATTACTCCCTGATATGACTGCATCGACTTCATCGTAGGTGAGCTTGCCAGTGCTCTGAATCACACCTTTACCAACCCAGGGATCATCACTGACCTCACCTGTCTGCTGATCAACCTCAAACACAACGCTGACGGTCAAGCGAGCTTCTCCTGGCACAAGTGAGCAGACCTCGGCAGCCAAGCGAGGCGGGAGCATGTTGACAGCTCGGTTCATTAAATAAACGCCCGTGCCACGTTTCTTGGCTTCCCGATCAACCAGAGAGTTGGCCTTCACAAAATGGGCAATGTCAGCAACGTGGATGCCGAGCTCCACCTTCCCGTTCCGGAGATCTTTGATGTGGATGGCATCGTCGAGCTCCTTGCTACCGTTGGGATCAATCGTGAAAGTTCTCTCTTCTCGGAAATCACGACGCTCAGCTAGGAGTTCGTCCCCTTCAGTAGCCACGGACCATTCTTCAAGACCAACGTTCTTGAGCACCGCCTCCGAAAATTCATCAGAAGCGAAATTGTTATCTCTGAGCAAAGCATCAGTTTCCACTCTCAGATCACCCATTTCGCCCAATTGTTCCACTAGCGTTCCAAATGGATGAAGTGAGGTAATCGGCCACCGCTTAATGCATGCAACAAAAATTCTGTTTGCGTAATCTTGATGCTTCTCAACAAAGTCCCGGGGCGCCTGCTCGGTAGGTATCGCAATAAGAGGGACACGTTTGTCTGTGGGTTTGAACCATACAATCTTGGGTTTGTCTTGTTGACGCTCTTGGTAATGACGGCCTTGACCGCCATCCCTGGCTTGTCTTTCCGCTTCCTGCTTTTCTTTCGTCGCCTGACTGCTTGGGCGAAGAAGTCCCAGAGTCCCCGAGAACATCTGCCCAGCGACACGTTCGACGACTGCGACAACATGTCCAGCATACAGCGGCTTCTGCTCGTCGCTGATTTCTTCTTCCTCCATGAGAAGGAGACTCTGGCCTTCTACTTCAACGTCGTCATTCTTCTTCTGGGTGGGCCGCTGGCGTAGAGAGCCTCGCCGTTTGATACTGCCGTCAGGCGCAATTGTCACATTCTCACCGTTCTGGGAGTCGCTTCTTGTTGGCTTGTCGCTACCACTAGACGTTCGGGTATCAGTAATATCTTTGCGCTTCTTCTTCTCTTCCTTCTCCCGCTTCTGACCCCAGACTTCATCGACATCTAGTAATTCAACTGCAACCAGGTCACCTTCCAGTGCACGGTTTCGGTCTTTGCTGCCACAAATGAAGATGTCGGCATCAAGGTCCGAGGTTGTGACGTAGGCATCTGAGCGGTTCTTCTTGTTCACTCGCAAGATGCCGGCCACGAGTTGGCCATCGTTCAATAAAGCAGGTAGAGTGGCTTGAGGGAGGTATGGCGTGAAAAGTGTCTTGCGTTGCTGTTGCTGCTGTTGCTGCAGCGTCAACTGAGGCTGAGCGTGTTGACTCGCTTGCAAACCAACTCCTTGCCCGCCGAGCTGAGCATTTTGCATCGCCTGAAGCTGAGCGATCTGCAAAGGATTCAACTGTTGTCCAGCAAACATCTGAGGCTGAGCCATCATGACCTGTCCTTGAGGCAGCTGAAGAAGTTGTGGCTGCGCTGCATACTGGAACGAGCCAACGGAGCCCATTGACTGATTCATAGAGCCACGGGCTCTGTGGCCAGGCTGGAAGACGTTTGCATTCACGTTCTGTGGCTGATTGAAGCCACCTATTGTTTGCTGCTGTTGGTCCTGTGGTTGTCCTTGGCCAGCAGTCTGTTGTCGCCAATTACCTTCGAAGTTTCGGGATCCAGTCCGAGCGTGACCTGGTTGACTACCGCGGCGCTGAAGATCGCTTTGGCCAGCCTGAGCGCTCGCTCCAGCATCTGCAGTGGCCATGGGAGGTGGAAACTGGAAATTTGCGGCACCACGGCCAGCAGAAGCACCTCCACGGCCATTTCCTACAGCTAGACTTTGACTTCGTCCATGGCCTCCACCGCGGATGTTCCCGGCTCTTTGAAGTCCCAGCCCCTGAATAGGAGGCTGCACGGCTACAGAAGCCTTTTCGTCCATAGGTGCCGAGTCATCTGAACCCTGAGAACCGGTAGCAGAGGCCCCTGAGGCACCAGGAATGGGGAACTGAAAGCCAGTTGTCGTCCGTTTCTGTTGGGCTAGCTCGGCAGCCTTCTTGGCTTCTGGTAATGCTAGCGAATGTCGACGTTGATGTCCACTGCCAGCGGGCGCACCACGACCACGGGAGCTGCTGTTTTCACGATTCTGACTGGCCGCTTGCTGATTGTAATCACTGAAAGTCGAGCCTGAAGCGCCGGAGGATGGAGCTGGAGGGGGACCCATGCCCATGCCTGGAAGTGCTGACTGGTTTCGACGATGTGAAGCTGGTTGTGTTGGAGTGTTCATGGCACCTCCCAGTTGCTGCATCTGGGGAAACTGAAAAGCATTGTTGTGAGGTGAAAGACCTCCCACAGTCACCTGGCCTTGAACGGGAGAGTATCCTCCCGCGCCGCCAAGAGGTTGTTGTATCATTCCCATATTTACATACTGCTGATGTGTGGCAGCAATCTGCTGCTGCTGCTGTTGGAGCATTTCGATCTGTTGTTGAAGAGCGAGTTGTTCCACTGGAAGACTCGGTTAGCCTTCATCACCCAAGATGGCAGAGAAATGTAGAAGTGATATCAGCACCAAGAGAGGGCCATTGCCCCTATTTGAGAGCAAATTGACTTACTCATCAGAGGGGTGAGCTCAGATGGACTCCTGCGGTGTGCAATGTGAAGTCTGCGCCCCCCCGGCCCTTGAGGAGCAAGGTTTTGTTCCATGCCGAATGTCGTTGGTAGCCACTACTACGATATAGATGCGGCTTCTGAAGGAGGAATATCTGTTCTGTTGAGATAGGTAATCGTGGAAAGTGTGCCGTCAGTCGAAAGCAGAGGTCGTAAAAGGACGGACGGTCAAGGTAGGACCCTGATATGTAATCTGATTAGCCGGGGTTTGAGACTGCAGGGGAACCAGATTACCTTCCAATGATAGTTTTTGAGCAACTCGATTCTTGCACTCTGTGGCTTTTCGAACAAACTGCAGAACTCACGGCACTGCAGGTTCTCGTAAAGACTGCCTAGCAGGATGAAGCAAAATCTATGACAGAATTGGGAGGGAAGGAGAGGATGAACTGAGTAACAGGAAGGACCGAGTTCTTCGAACTAGAAGCCAGAAGGTGATGGGTGTGGTGGCCTGAGGGAGCAGCGACCAGTGTGGTGGGTTCTGTGGGCGATATTCAGAACAGTCAGACAAGAGTACCGAAGGATTGCGAGAGCAAATCTGTAAGAGAGAGTGACTTGAGAAGATAGAAGGAATGGGATGGGGGGATCTCAGGATGCAAGATGAGGTAGAGATGGGGGATGGAGGCAGTGTTCGGAAGTGGAGATACTCGTGCTGTATTGAAACACAATACAGCACAATACATAGTCATTGTTAGCACTTTGAATGTCACTATTCAGAGTGCTTTGTCTCACCATTTACATCTTATACAGGAGTTGTGATGCCAAAGACCTTTGCAAAATCAAATTTCGTATCCACAGTGCATCTCATGCAGGCTGTACCGCCCGTCTGGACAAAGCAAGATTGATTTCATAAGTACTGTAACATCGGAACGAAACCTAGCGCCACTGCCCTTACAGCAGCATTTACATATTCTTCGGCCCCTCATCCACAAGCTTGCTGTCGCACCTTGACTCGCTTTCTTATGCTCGCTTTACCACACGGAGGTCCCCACAAGCACTAATAAAGCGAAGGATTTCCATATTCGCTTCCCCTATTGCCAACTTGGATTTCAGGACGAGCATACTATACTACCATTCTTACTGAAAACTTCTGTCTGAAGCAGAATGGCCCGCGTCCGAGTCCAGACTCCATCGAGCGCATTGAGGGCGAAAAGCATATCGCCGAAATTCGACGATAGTCCGTCAAGGCAATTAATGCTTGATCTGGAAAGAGCTCTCAGTCAGACTCAAATCCATGAGACTGAGCTCCACAAAGTTCACATATATGGCCAGCGGCTGTTCCAAGAACACTTGGATCTGATTGATGCGAAGAGAGCCCAAGAAGAAGGTGCAGCGCTTGACGCTGCCGCATCAAGACATGAGACGGTTAGGAAGGAGGCCGAAGCCGAGTTACAGATCTGGTGTCGAGAAGTGGAAGAGCAGGAGAGACTCAAAAAGGAGCATGAAGAGAGACGCGTACGTGAGCAGCAGGCTCGAGCAAGGGCCGAAGCGGAGCGCAAGGCAAAATTAGAGGCGGAGCGCCGAGCAAGGATAGAGAAAGAGCAGGCAGCTGCGAAGAAGTTAGCTGAAGAAAAGGCCGAGGCGGAGGAAGCTGAGCGGCGGAAACGAGAAGATGCTCTAGCGCAAGCGAAGGCTGAGAGGGAGCGGAAACAGAAGGAAGAACAAACACTGGCAGAAGAAAAATCGCAAGCTGCAGAGGAAGAAGCCGCACGACAGAAAGCTGCTCAGGCGGCTGCTCAAGCTGAGCATTTGATACGATCGCAGGGCCAATCGTCTGCTGGCTCGAGCCCTGACAAGGAAGCTTCGCACCAAAGATATCTTCAGATTCACCAGAATCTCAAAAAGTTTCGAAAGGAATTCTGGGCACAATGTAAGAAGGACGCCAACTTGAAGACAAAAGTCGGAGACATGCGCCGCGCCATTAAGACCAGTGTTGGGCAATTGACAGAGGCAAAGGGTGCGAACAAGCTGCCGGTAAGCAGATTTCCTTGTGACGGTCTCATTTAGTTGATCATTTTTACAGACTGAACGCATCAAGTCGACTTTGAAGGATGCGCTGACCATCCCAAGTCCGCCTGTCGATATACGAGACTACTTTGCCGTCCCACCACCAGAATCTCAAACTCCTGAGCAAAGTCAATGTCCTAGCTTACTGGTGTATTCGCTGAATATCTTCTCCAAGGCCATCATTTCACAGTTCGGCGGAGAATCTGGCATCTCGATTTCTGCTGCTGAGCCAGCAGGCGTCCTCGTAGCTCAGATATTCGCTACTACGGAGTACCAATGCAGAGGACACTCCTTGATTGACATTCTCCTGGCCAAGTTACACCTCGCCTGTCCTGTACTCTGGGGTGTCTACGGGGACGAAAGCACGCCCGAGGGTAGGATGCGCTTGGGATGGCGAAAAGAAGGCGGTGTTTACATAAGCGAGAGTCGACATCATGAGCGTGTTTCTGGCTTAGGCGCAGGGTTTGCATCGATCGCCCTCCGCAACTTCACGAAGTCACGATTGCGGAATCCGTTCCCACCCACCAACTTTTGGGAGTGTTTGGCCAACATCCTGAATGTTCCTCCTGGTGAGGTCCAGCCGACACATTTGTTCGTGCTAAAGGCTATGCTGGAAAATTCGGTCGAAAGATTCATTCATTTCTATGGCTCAGCAGCTATCGCTGCTCTTCGACTGGCGCTCGTCACTTTCCCGACCACATTACCCCGAAGAGTGCAGGACACAGCGGGCTGCAAGGCTATCACCCTTCTTGTCGATATGTTAATTCGGGAAAAGAATCTACGAATTGAGTAGGATAGTAGGATATCATGAATGAAATTGTTGGATAACTTCGCTCATGCATTCAATCTGTGAGTTAATCGACACACAAAAGGTAAAGATACAATCAGTGTTCAGTAGATGCTTCTGGTATGTCCCATTTCTGTCTCTATGATACTCTGTACGGTAACAGAACTTATAAGCCCCCCACATGCCGAGTGATAGAGAGAACCTTGGAGTAGAATCAGCTTTGGTAAGTCAGCTAGTGTCAAGGAGGCCAGGTCTCGCTGCCGAGGATGCACTTACGGAGTACAGGCCGCACCAATCGCTTTTAGTTACCAACTAGTAGTTGTTGGGGTTAGACGACCGCTGTGGGCACTGCTGTACTACTAGTACTACGTAAGAGGTGATTTGCGGGGCGCAAGAAAGAAGCATCAGCCAAGCTATGATTAGTTAGATGCTTGGAAGCACTGCCTGACGTGAGCGAGATATTAAAAGCATATTCAGTGTCTCGTCCACCTTTGTAATCTTTCAGATACAGTACTATCATACCGAGGCCTGGCTCTGTAAGTGGTGAGAGTTATTTTACCCTTTCTGCAATAGCTCTTGCATCATCTATCTCTACTACGTAGTAGATGGGATAAGATTAAGCTAGCTGTAAGATCTTACACTTGCGTGGGTTCTCACCGAACTTCTGGGATTATGGCTGCGTCGTGAGTGGTTGGAAAGGCGAGGGAGTGGCAACGGCGGCACGCACCAGGAAGCACCGTAAGTTCACGAGTTGACATAGATCCTTTATCGCTAGAGAGCCAGCCGTCATCACGCAAGGTTCGCCATACCTTCCTTACCACAGACAGTCCAATTGCCAGCAGGGAGCTCTTCCGCAACTTAACCCCCTTCAGATGTAGTTAGTACATATATCTCTGCTCGCTCTTGAACTGTTCTTCCTTCTCCTATCTTCACTGTTCCTGTGCGATCCTTACATCGCAGAAACGACGGTCACTTTTGCACAGAAAACTCACACAATTCGCGGCAGATGCAGCCAGTGCTAAAAGGTCCAGACATATTCTTTTACACTTGCTTTAAGCGATCTATTCGCTCTATAAAGTGGCGTTGAGCAAGCAAAAACACCTTCAGCCACGATGTCCACCACCGCACTCAAAGCGGACAAGCCGTTCGGTTTTGCTGGAAGCTTCGAGCCTGGTGAAAAGCACGAGAAGGATGCCGGAATCTTGGGGTCTCCCTTGCGCAAGTACAGCAGGATCGGCCCTGCTGTTTCTGGCGCAACTGCCGATTCAGATTCGGACAATATAAATATTGAACGACAGATCGAGCTCGAGGCAGGCGCGGCCATCAAATACCGTACTTGTAGTTGGCAAAAGGTTCGTATCTTTGTATCATCTGGCCCGCAGAATGTCAACCCTAGCATCATGGAGGTCGCATATCCGGGATGGTACTCGAATTTGTTTCGGATGAAACTATGGTGGGAGAATGTGTGCATTGTACTAATCCGCTGTGCAGACTGCTGCTCTTCTTTTCTCAGAATACATCTGCTTGGCGATTATGTCCTTCCCATATTCATATTCGGTTCTCGGCCTTGTTCCTGGGCTCATTTTGACCGTCGTACAAGCGGCATTTGTGCTTTACACGTCGCTGATAGTCTGGTACGCTCCACTCCCACTTGTTTCTGACAATGGACATGGGCTTACCCACATATAGGGAGTTCTGCCTCAGACACCCAGAAACCCGTGATGTCTGTGACATCGGCCAAATGCTATTCTGGAACTCTAAAGCAGCGTGGTACTTCACAGCCGTTATGTTTCTCCTGAACAACACCTTCATCCAAGGCCTCCATGTGCTGTAAGTGTTCCCTGGGGGCTGTCATGAGCGGCAGCTAAGGTATTCTTTTCCAGCGTCATTTCCCGCTATCTAAACACTATGAGCACCCATGCAGTCTGCACTGTAGGCTTTGCAGTTCTTGGTGCGCTGATTTCGTTCGTTTGCTCACTGCCCCGGACCTTCAATACGCTCTCTAAGTTGGCAACTCTCTCTGCCTTCTTCACTTTTATCAGCGTCATTCTTGCAGCTATTTTTGCCGGTATCGAGGACCACCCGGCAGGTTTCAATCCGGACCCGGACCACATTAACAAAACCGGAGTGAACATGGGAGGTAATCCAATCGTGCTTGTCATTCCGGCAGTTGGTACGACCTTCGTGTCAGGCATGAATGCCCTCCTCAATATCAGCTACACCTTCATTGGTCAGATCACACTTCCCAGCTTCATTGCGGAGATGAAGAATCCATACGATTTTCGGAAAGCTCTTTGGCTTGTGACTATTGCGGAAATTATTGTCTTCAGTCTTGTGGGGGCTGGTGAGGACCATCTCACTCTCTTCTGCTTTTCTGTGCTGATTCTAAACAGTTGTGTACGCATACACCGGTACACAGTACAATACGGCACCAGCCTTTGGATCCCTTGGGAACGATCTCTACAAGAAAGTCTCCTTCTCGTTCATGATACCAACCCTGATCTTCCTTGGCGTCCTCTATGCTTCCGTCTCTGCCCGCTTTGTCTTCTTCCGGATCTTTGAAGGCACACGTCATAAGAGTAACCATACTGTCCTCGGTTGGGCATCCTGGGCCGGAATATTGGCGGCAACTTGGATTCTTGCCTTCGTCATCGCAGAGGTTATTCCATTCTTCGCCGACCTTCTCTCGCTCATGAGCTCGCTGTTTGATTCCTTCTTTGGTTGGATCTTCTGGGGTGTCGCATATCTTCGAATGCGTCGCTCACAGTTCGGACCGGGCTTTTACAAGAAGCGAGGCCTGATTAGAGGCTGGGGTGGGATGATCCTAAATGTATTCATCATCATTGTTGGGATATATTTTTTGACCGTCGGAACCTATGTGGGTGATCCGGTAGCTGCATGCTTGTGGTCAAGCTGACTTTCTGTGTTAGGCTTCCGTCGAGAGTATCATTCTTGACTATCGTGTGGGCAATGTCAAGGGGGTGTTCACCTGTGCTGATAATTCTGTTTAGACAACGTCAGAGAGGATGATCCGATCAGGAATTTGCCTGTGCAGGCTGACGAGATAGATCTAGCTTTCGCGTTGCAACAGTAGGCGTGTTTGAGGATGCCGTTGCGGACAGGAGGAGTATTTGTTCCAACAGAACACTTAAGAAATATAAATCCACTCTTTAACGACTTGTGCCTTGAAAAGTATTTGGGATGGCTATTGCAACGGTAGTATATAATCGACGTACTCCAGCTGCTGTGCAAAGAAATCACCTATCCAGCTCTTGCATACGATCACGCCCGTAAGTCGCTCCCATTGTTGATCAAACAACTATTTGGCTTTTCCACCCTTCTCAGCACTTTTCTTCTCCAGGGCTACACACACGTAGCTTAGCACCAGGCCTCTTGTGTGTGAGAGAGAAAGGGTGTGCAGAAGGCCCTGAACAAGGGATCATAAACATACCAGCCTGTTGTTTCTGCCTCATTATATCAGCCTGTGCTTCCTGCACCCGCTTGAACTCGGTGCCGCTCATGTTGTTTTTCTTCTTCTGCACACATAACGATTGAGGGTCAGTGAGGGGGGTACTCGTAAGAACAGAGAGTATATATGAGCAGAGGATGTACCTCGTTGGCCTTTTCTTTCTGCGTCTTCTCCCGCGCTTTGTCTCTCTGATTGCCACGAGCCATTTTCGTGAAGGATTAGCGGCACTGGAGCCGATGCTGATAAGTGGCCAAGCGGGCTTGAAGGTTCAAGGAATGCGAGCCTTGGAGGGCAAAGGGTATGGGAATTGGAATGTTGGTTTAAGTCGAGATGGGGAACAGCTGGCGGTGGAGATCTCCAATTCCGGCGCTGGACTGCGATGTGGCTATTTGTGGTATCAATGATTACATAAGAAGCGGATCTCGTTCCGCCTCCCTGTCGCAGTCCTTCTATTCGGCGCCGCTGAAAAGTGCGTTCCAGCGTCGTATTGAACCATCCAGAGTAGCGATTTCATAATCCCTAGGGCTTTGATTTGCCTCGCGGCTTTAGATAGCATGCTATAAGGACAATCGAAGCATAATCCCATTGATTATATCTATGCTCTGTGGAGCGCCATCAGCTCAAAGCGGCTATTCGTGGTGTTATAATAACTGGTTAGGGAATCTAGAACTCTGTATATGTTACCAAGGGGGATACCAAGTGTTTGACAGGTGCAACAGTTATGGCGTGACTGCATTGAGCGAATTCTACTGGTAAGTACGAGATTCTTCAAACAGAGCTCTGCTGATAGTCAAGTACTTCATGTCAAGCATACTATCAAGACTGTGACAACTTTCGCCCTTCCATCGAACCTACCTAAACGCCAATCGTTACGCCGAGTTGTAAATCTGAGCTTGCGTGGCCGAACATCATTTCAATAAAGCAATTGACCTCAGAACCAGGTTCCAAGAGTATTTGAAGCACAGCTTTCTCTTGCCGTGCAGACCTGCTGGGTGCACCGTGAATATTGTTCTTTCGATGGCGTTGATACAGTTGAAAGCATAGGCGAAGGGGGTTTGACCCTCAAATTCTTGATGCAAATCCACATATTGAAGAGGGTAAGTACAGATGTGCTCTATCTCTTACTTAGGACCATACCGCTTTCACTGACTATAAGATAAAAATCTGGTTCCGAGTATGAGTCGGATACTCGAGCGGGATATGTTGAGGAGGAAACATTCGCGGAGTTACAAAGTCGTGCATCAAAAGTCGTCAATATACGCTAACTAGGATGAGGTCAAGCTAGCTCTTGTTGTGTTACCGTTTGCAGGCGGCGAAGACGGAGAGGGTCGTCAGAGGGGACGAAAGGCTAAAGCTTAACTGATACATGCCTATGAGCCATGTGAAACTGCCTGAAAGTAGGCCTTAAAGATCTTTACAATAAGGGGGGTCCTAGCAGCCACTCTAGGGCTCCATCTACATTTCGCACTATTTACGCAGCGCCGAAGCTCAGCTAGAGTGTGCTAGTGACGCTCTAATATTAGCGTATATTGGAGACCTTTGATGCACGACTCTGTTGCTCTTTGATTTCGTCCTTTTCGCCCGATCCAAGAATCAATACTCTTCCTATCATTGTCTTTTTGCTAAAAGTGTACACTTCTGCCGTTCAAGTTGGTCATCATCCAACCATCAGCCGCGCAACGGCTTGATGGGCGCGTAATGGCATTTTCGGCCAAATCAAATCGCCTTGCTTCGTGCATGGGCCAATAACAGGGCGTTTCAGGCTGGAAGAAAGCGAATGTTCTCAACCAGTCCTTTACTTCTTCCACACCTGCGCTCTGAAATTCGGCAGCGAGATTGCCGGTTTCAGCGACAATGATATCGCGTCAATTTCCAGCAAGTTCTGTGCCCTTCAGGCTATTCTGCAACCTATTTGTGTTGAAACAGTGGGTACCTGTTCCTTCACGAACCGCGGCCTTCACGACCAATTGCTAGTTGAAGCTTGCTTCGCGCTGACGATAGTCAAGGCATGAAGCTTGATGCTCGATTACACAGCAAGCACCAAATCTTGATCTTGATTACATGCTGGATGTTCTTCAATAGCTCAACCGACTGCCCTCTTCTCTAATATTCATGCTTTTTCATTTGTTCTTTCTGTTCATTTCCTATTGTGACTACAACTATTGACGCCTGGTGCACATTCATTCTACAATAATCACACCATCATTCAAGGCTCCTGTTAGCATTATTGTTCACTTCGATCCATCTGCCAATTCACAGTCACTACCCGCAATCTTTATTTTTCCTGCTTTACCCACGCAGACCAATCCTACTGAGTTCCTTCATTGCTATCCGACTACCAACCCTATCTTGCACTCGACTTCAACCATCTTATCAGCTACCTCATCCTCTTTTACGTCTCCTACGAAAGTTATGGGCTGTTTCGGGAAATCCCTGGCTGGCCCAGGATACGTCATCCTCAATACAATCCGAGTGCTCAATGTCATCAGCTTGCTGGCTGTCATCGCAGCCTGCTCTGTCATGCTCGTCAAGACATTTGTTGTTAGTAAATTCTTCTTTTTCGACGCGTGTGGACACGTCGTCAAGGCTATTATCGCTGGTAGGTCGGAATTGTACCGATTTGGTTACAAGAGCGCTGACGGTCTTCAGGCTTCCTGATCTTTACCGAGATTCCTCTCTTCAGAAGCTATCTTGCTCGAAATTGGCCCCTCTTCAGTCGAGATTCCGGCTTTGTCATGCTTGGTGTGACAATGATTCTTCTGGGAAACGCGATTTTGGGAAACCTCAACAAGGAAGCAACTAGTCAGGAATCACTTGGTCTGGCATTCTGGAGAATAGTCATTGCTTCAGGCATTGTGGTCATCGTCATGGGCTTTGTCAATATCCTCTCGGTCAGTCGACATATCCACGCAATCAGAACCCTAACTAATTCCTACTGCAGAGCTACGTCTTCCGCGACACAAAGATCGGCCTAAACGCACGACAAGTTCGATCTCACGGTGCAGTGGCAGAGCAGAAGGTGGTCAGTGGTGACTCGACTCGGAAGTCGTTTCGAAAGTCTTTCCATCTGGGACGAAAAGACAACCTACCATCCTACTACTCCAACTCAGTCTACTCGAGGTCCAACAGCACCAGATCAGAGAAAGCTGGCTCACCACTCCGAGGGCTACAAATCTCGAACCCGACATACAACAATTCTGAGCAATTCTCGAAATATTCTGGCAGTCCGGAAGTGGCTACTCCAAATCTGGCGCATCATCCTGCCATGTACTCGAACAGGGTGTAAGCAAGGGCAGGAAGTGAGTGTATGATGTGAGATGGGATTGGGCGTTGTTGAGTTGCTTTTGACAAGCACTATGATACCATGCTATGAGCAAATTTCACTCTTTACAAAGCCTACGAAGAGACCAGCACAGTCGTAATTAAGTCGTTCATTAATCAATGATCTTACTCCCGGCTTTTATCATAGTCTACGCTTGGTACTTGTTCCTATACTACTATGTGAAAGGTCAAAAACAATGCGCGTCATTCTGTGGGATGACATGATGGTTTTCACTATGAAGCTTCGCGGGTCATGGTGCGTCATCCCGCAGCTTGAACTCTGTGTCCGCAATTGCACGTAAAATAATTGTTTACCCACCTCAGAAGCTGCAGACCAAAGACGACAACCAAGAACCACTCGCATCGCCATTCTTACCTGCTCATCCCTTCCTGCGCAGCTGAATTCTCCCTTCGCCCGCGGGATCGAGCGACCAACGACAAGTGCCGAGCACCCAAAATGCCCACCCTCCTCCTAACGATCTTCCTAATTCAGCTCTCCATCCACCTAATCAACACCATCGGCGCATCTACCCTCAACGAGCTCGTAAGAAAAACACCCGTCCCCCTATCTCCTCCTACCCGGTTAAATCTAACCCAGGTAGTAACGTCAACCATAGCTATGGACCCTCTACACCCGCGCCCCGCTCTCCACAACCTCGCAACCAATGCACGAACAGACGCGTCTGCGCCGCGAAGTCGTGCGCCTGAAACGCGAGATGGCGGCCACGTCGGCACAGGACAATTTCGCGCGCTGGGCCAAGATCAGGCGCGAGCATGACAAGGCCTTGGCGCGGCATGATGAGCTCGGTACGTACGGGAAAATAAATCACCTGTTCTCTCTTCTCTTCTCTTCTCTTCTCTTCTCCTGTGTGCAGAGAGAAGGGAGGGGGCATGGCTTCCTGGGAAGAAGTTATGTCATACTCGATGGTTGGTGGGCTGACGAAGATGATTTTTTTCTTTAGCGGCGACGAATAATTCCTTCCGATCCAAATTCAACACCTACGCCTCGGCGACGAGGTGGATCTCCACGAATGGACTGCGTCTGTTTCTGCAGTTCTGGCATGCCAGGACGGCGGTGTTTAGATTGCCGCTGAAGCTAGTCCTTATTAATCTAGATTAATAAGCTTATTAATATAGCATTAGGCTACTTTAAGAAGTTAGCTATATATGTATAACTAATTTTCTTAGCGCTAGCTATAAGCTAGGGGATGAAGATGGGGACTGTCAATACTGGGGGAGGCAGAGCACAAGAAAGAGAGGCGAAGAAAAGTCAGTGACGTTGCAGGAATGCCAGTCTTTAGAGCAACCTCATATGGCTATGACAATGTTGCTGGTACGAGCGTTTCATCTTCCAGCGTCTACATCCTGATCCAACCACGTGGTAATCCTGCTGGACAGTCTGGTAGACCGTTGTACAGCAGACGACTATTCAAGTCATCAAAGCAAAGTACAGGAAAAGGGAACCAAGCTTAGGATGAAATAGATTTGACATTTACAAAGGTAGCCGAATGCAGAGTTGCCGAGTTGTGGGGCAGGGAATCAAACGGATGACCAAGACATCCCGGCATCGTATGCTCGGCTCCCTGGAAGGAAATAGATATTGAACAAGAAAAAAGCTCGGAGTAGTAGTGTCAGTCATGTTGACAGGGAGTGGATATCGGATGAGGCGGTTTGGTCAGTTACAGGCCTTCGTGGATTATGCCATGATCGCTATAGCGAGCAGGTGTTGTTTCCGCTGGGCCAAAGGAATCAAATTGAGGGAAATGAGGAGAAGATGCCGCTTGAGATCCAACGATACCAGGTTGTGCTCCCGCTTGAAAGGAATACCTTATCGTCAATGGTATGCCTTCCGTAGGACTTTTTTCTTCATAAACCAATTTGGTCACGTGAGCCAGATTCTTTCCAATGGAGCAACTCCAGCTTGATTCTCTCCCCATACATCAGGCCGTGTATGTAGCAGTCACCCAACAATGTAGGACCCCTTTTACATGGACGGATGACGTAGGGGATGCTACATCCTTGGAAGATGCATATCTTGTCTCCCGTCTGTGCGAAAATGGGTACCCAGCCGATAAACCCTCTCTTACTCGAGAAGAACTTTTTTCCTCGAACGAAACGACGAAACGCTTGTTTAAAGGGCTTGGATGTCGGCATGTGACGTTCGGTCTCTTTCGTGCGGGCCTAGATGAAACACTAATCATCATCAGTTGTCGGTAGAACATTGTCCTGCCTTTGCAAGGTTCAGCCTAGGACGCCTCAGAGTACTTCAGGGAATGCAATTGCGGTCGTGGTATTATTCATGGTGTTTTTGCCACACTTAGAGTCAATTTCATGAACACGTCAAAGGATTCGTCATAGCTGGCAGTAGCTCTTTCGCCTGGATCTGCAGTGTCGAATTTCAGAGTCCTGCTGAATATCTCTTTGCTGCTTTCTCGGGTCGGATATGGCTGTAGTGAAAGGACTACTTCCTTGCATACCATTAGCCAGGATAGCAATTTCCTGTCAGGCCGTATCCTATCATCAACTATCAGTGGAAGGGTTTCGCCCTTGATTGCATCAGGCCTTTGGTCAATGGTAGTGTCTACCAGATTGATAACGCGGCCAAGAACATTAAGTGTCTGCATGCTGCCAGTCAGCCGGAAACATGGTGCGCTGTCGGCGTGGTATAGAAAATAATTGCTGGATATTCCGTCACGCGCATCTAAAAAAAAGAGAAGACCTATCCTAAGGTCAAACATAAATCAGATTGAGCTTCGGAATTTTTGCTATGCACCAGTGGGACAAAGGAAGGATCAACATTGCTAAGTGCTGGAACCCAACTTGGAAGAGCTCCAAGCGATGGTTCGGAAGGAAGCCAGTTGACAAAGAGAGAACATCAAGACCGAGACTGTGTAGTTCTCTATAAGTTTCTGTTTAAATTCTTTTTGATAATTCCAGTATGCAACTCAGCAACGGACTTGTTGTAGCCGATAGAACCGCACGATACATCCGAAGCAATACCTACCAAAGCGAAAACGTTGTCGCGCGGGCCTGAAGCTTGCAACGCTCGTGTGAACAACATCAACCCAGTGAGATGCAACAAGTATCCCTTCGGGTAGCCGCTCTTTGCAAGGCCGAGCACGCCAGTAATGGTCACTATCGTAGGCCTTGCCGACGTTTGGGCATTCCTAACAATGTATGCGACATCAAGGAGCATTTCGGGATCCAAATGTAGTGAGCCACATGGCATCGTGCAAGCCTTTGCAAAAATAAGCTCCTGGCAAACCCACACGCGAGAGAACCATGGTCGATCTAGAAGAGACCACAGAGCCGTGTCCAGACAGGAGGGGGACCTGCTTCGCCGTCAACGTCCAGCATATTACATCCTCCCATATTGAAGGTTTGTGCTGCATTATAGACTTGTTTTGCGAGATCAATGGCCACTTGGTCAGTCTCTAGCTGCTCTCCCAGCAAAATGATGACTACATCTGCCTGCTTGTAGATATTTGTCATCATCCTCATCTGGTCGGTCTCGTCTTCAACGTTCGACTGATTGATACAGGCGGCGTCTGTCCAGGGATAGCTATAGTTGCCGGTTTCCCGAAGCTGCCACAGCGCATTGAAGAGGTTGCTTGTTACTTGAAATACCTTATCATCACAACAAACGTTTCTAGATTCTGACGGATCACCCCTTTACATAGGAGAGAGCCTTGTAATGGAGCTTTTAAATGAAGTGTTCTCTCATCAGTCTGCAGTGTATTTGCTTACTTCCCTTTCCAGGAAGGGGCCTCAAAGCCTGGTTTTCAGCTGTCCAGGGTTCTGTTGTATTGGAAGCAGGTCTCGGATGGGCTCCCCATGGCGTATTTTGGTGGCTAGGAAGCATATTGCAGCTCCATGTACGTCTAGGTGATGGCTTTTGCTTACCGTTGAAGCACATACATTGTCAGAACCATTTTGAGACGCGATCCTCAACACTGCCTGACAACATCTGCGCGTGGCTGCGCCTTACTCATTATAGCTAGCTCCTCTTCTCCAATCCTTAAAAAATATCCATAACCTCCGCACTGCAATAGCCCATAAGATCTTTCTAATCTTCTCTCCATCTCCGCGCTCAAAGAATCGCATTCGAAGCTCACGAACAGAGGCGTCCTTGACCCTCAAACCCATATCAGCTTCGGGAGAAAGTCCCCGGACACCCTGTCTCTCCTCTGTCTTCGGACTCTGGAGACTGCTCAGGACTGCGGAAACGCGCCGCCATAAAAGCAATTTTTCTGCGGCTTACGCCTACCTTCGCCTTCTGCCGGCATTGTGTCCTTCTGGACGCTGGTCCTCGCTCCCATACATGGCTCGACCTTGTGCCGTTTGTACTCTCTGTCTGCTTATCGACGATTTTCCAGCTCGGGTCTGTGTCGCTTGCGCTGAGGGAGGGACCGCCTCGAAAGAGGATGGGATGAAGATATGAGTCCGAGCCCTCCTCTCGGCCTGGTTGATACTATGGCCTTGAGTGCTTATGGGATCTTGTTCAAGGAGCGGGGGAGGAGGTGACAAGGGTACGAATTGGAGTCGGGACTGGGACAATCACAGCTGAAGGATTTACTCTCCAAGAGAGAGGATGCATGTTTGGTGAAAGGAGAAGGTTTGGTTGCCATTCGTCGTGTTTGGAAAGTTATGCGATTGCCTTTCCTGAGCTTGAGGGCTTGGCCTCAGGTGAAAGAGATTGGTAACTCGATGGGGCTTATTCTTGAGGCGCGGAGACCACAAATTCTTCTTTTGAGTCTGTAGCTTATGGCAAAGCGGTGGTCATGGCTTCATGATTGCAGACGCTCGGTCAAACGAGCCAGACTCGGTCTGTTTGATGTTCACATGATGATCACTACAATCAATAGAGTCAAGCACTTAGGCACCGTGCTCAATGAGCTGGTTGCTGTTGACGAGAACGATTGAAACATTTCTGATGGACAACGGACTTTCTTGTACATCATTCATTACCCCCGAATTGTTATCTGAAGCAGCGCAAAAATAGAAATCGCAACATGGCGGGCAGATGCTCATGCTGTCGATCATGTTCCTCTGTAGAACTTGTTCTCCACGAAGGGCATCTTCACCACCTCCGCCTGTCTAACATTTTTTCTAACCTTGATACCCAACTTCGTCCCTTTCTTATGCCATCCATTCTTGACCAAACCCATGGCAATGTTCGTCCCTCCCAGGCTCGGGCTCGGTAATCCGCTCGTCACCTTCCCAACCACATCTCCGCTCTCCACATCCACGATCTCTGCCCCTTCTCTGGCCGGCGCTCCTTTCTCGGCTATCAGTCCCACCCGACGCCGTTGCATGGTCTTTGGCGATGCCAGCTGCTCAAGGATCTTGCTGCTTCCATTGAAATTGGCAGCGTTGCCAGAACGTCGCTCCTTGCTCACTGTCCAACCTAGTCCTGCTTCAGGTGGCGTGGTCGAGATGTCTATGTCGTGACCATAAAGACACATACCTGCTTCTAGACGCAAGGAATCTCTAGACGCGAGACCCGCGAGGCGGACCGTCGAGGAATCTGCGAGGAGCGCTTCCGCGATCTTGTTTGCGAGCTCTGTGGAGTCGCCGCTTTCGGGTGGAATGGAGATCTCGAAGCCGTCTTCGCCTGTATAGCCGGTGCGTGACACGACCAGGGACGGTGTGTTGGTGCCGTCTGGTAATTTCAGCTGGAGGTACCTAGCGTTGCCGAAGTGGAGGTTGGAGAGGTCTGTGTCCATCTCTGGGTCTTCCTCGTCGAGGAAGATAAGTGATTGCAGGGCTGAGACGGCTTTCGGGCCTTGAAGTGCAAGGAGTGAGTGCTTCTCAAGGACCATCCAGTCCAAGTCGTTCTCATCCGTGACCTCGTGCGTCTCTCGGAACTTTGCCATTTCGGCCTGGATGAAGGTGAGGTCGTTCTCTCGACAGGCCGCGTTCGTGACGAAGTAGAAGGCTTGATTGCCAACCCGGGTTATGACTGTGTCGTCGACTATGCCGCCGGAAGGGCCTTCTAGGAGACATGATAAAGTGGATTGATACTTATTCAGGCTGTTTACGGCAGTAGGTGTTATCTGCATCAAGAATGCTTCTGCTGAAGGACCCGATAGTTTGTGCTGAACCCTAGCTACGCCATCAATTGCAATTCTAAGAAAGAGGAATAACACCATACATATGGCTGACGTCGAAGATGCTCGCTTTCTCACGCGTCCAATGATGGCTCTCGACATGGCTTAGATCATCGTAGTAGAGTGGCATAGAGTATCCTCCGAAAGGGACAAACTTGGCTTTTTTGGAGACATGCAGATCGTACAGAGGAGTCTTCTGTAATTCGTTTTGGGCTCCAGATGCACACCTACGTTGGATCACAGGCGTAAATGTAGTTCGCCATGGCAGGTTCTTCCTTGATAGCAGTGCATGGGTTGTCTGTGGGCGAGAAATATTCGGATCCCAGGCATTCCTGGTGGTACAGAGCGCCCTCGAGGTATGGAGTCTGGTCTTGATCTTTTTGGCAAGACATTCTGCTTGCTTAGTACATCTATCCAAGCAAAGAACACTGCTTCTACCAGCCATATTGGTGTCGTGCTCAGCTTTGGTCTTCTGCCATGAAGCAAAGGTTGCAAACAGCTTTGAAGGTCCAAATGGTTGTTGTTGAACTGTTTGAGTGCCGTGTGACATACGCGTTTTACATACGTTTTGTTACAGATCTGATACACATTTAGCAGGAGCTCCGCATGTAGTTTTAGTATCAGCGTTCCGCACTCTGCGCACTTATTTAGATAAGTACTAGTAGAACAACTTGCTATTTTAACTCACTTCCACAGAGTAGTAGCAACGTTCAACAGCTGTTTGCTCGATTCGGAGAAACTACAAGCTCGGCATCCGAGGATGATTGTTACCATTTGTGACTTCACCATCACTGCTGTTGTAGATCTCTTTTCTGTTATTAAGCTGTAGTTCGTGATGGCCTCCACGGAATTAGGAGGGTTCTAGCTGCCTGTTGGATGCCCTATTACAAAATATATTCCAGATCGACGAGATAACTCTTGATTGATTTGCGATCATGGCTTCTCTGTCAGCGTATGACCTGTGGCCCTCCTGTTGACCAAGAACCTATCGCTAAGTGGATGAACAGGATAAAACCGTTTCTACCCTTTCTCTTGACGTTTCTCGTTCCGAGAGGGATATCATACTACCGTGCCATCAAAATCGCCATCAAGACCCGTCCTCCACCACGGCCCCTTCCAGCCAAGACATCTCGAGGCCTCAATATCCTCTTCCTCTCCATATGCCTGTTCTTCTTCATGAGCTTGCCATCCCACTCGCCGTCTTACCAGCCTAATATCTTCGAACTCACGAAATCACGATTTCATATCCCGACGGATGTACTCTTTACTCGTCTTGCCATGGTCCGCCCACTTACCTCGTCTGACGAAGCACTAAGAGAAAAGATAACGACTCCAATGTACGTGTCTTCCCTCTGCTACCCAGCCCACCAGCTCTCTTACTAATTTACTCTTTCCAGAATGCGCCAACTCTACCTTCGCTTCGGTGCCACCACTCTCCTAACATGCCCCTTCTGCCACCCTACAGATCCCAACTCCTACCTTCTGCACCACCTCCCAACCAATACCCTCCTCCCTCACCTGATTCACTTCCTCCTCCTCGGCCTCGCCACCTCAACCCCCATTTCGGGGCCCTCAACCAACGCCTTCCGCACCAAACTCTCCCTCTCCGCCCTCACCCTTGTAATCCTAGATTTCTACCTAACAACCACCTACTCCAACTCCATCCCCCCTTCCAACTCCCCTTCAGTCCCACACGGCATCTACTGGACGACTCTAACCATCCGCCCGCTCATAATATGTGCTCACGATATCCTCAGCTCAGCGTTAATCTATATCTCCGCCACCAATCGTCTTCCCTTTATCTTCCCTTCAACATCCCCAACATCAGCACATGACCCTGAAGTAGTGAAGAAGCGGCAAACGCATCTCCTGACGCAGAGCTCTGTGGCGATGCAGACGGCCCTCACAAAACTGAGGGCGTTTGGGATTGCAAGGAGTGCAGTTGTGAGAGATGCAGGTGTGAATGGGTTGAAGGGGAGGGATGATGAGTATTGGAGGGCCGTTGTGGGGATGGAGGGCCCTACAAGAAGTGGTGCTGATGGGCATGGGGCTGGGAACAGAGATGTATCAGCGGGGAGTGTTTGGGAGGAAGAAGAGGTGATGGAGGCGGTGTCCAGGGTTACTAATGGGGGAGGGTTGGATGTTGAGAAGGTGAGGAGGGAGGCGGACATTTTCGTGGAGAGTATGACTCAATGGTTGGAGGAGGGTGTGGAGGATGGTTAGATAACTAGCTATCTAAGAAGCAAGGGGATTGGGATAGTTGTTACTTGGATCGTAAAGCGCTCTGTAGCGGAAGACTTCTCAAGTCTAGGTCAGATTGGAAACGTACGAGCGTGAATCATGATCAATCAACCCAATCTGCCTCGTGCGAAATCGGATTGAATTCCCTTCTCAGGATATCACCTCTCGTGGAGGACACCAGTGTAGGTAGTGATCTTTCCGAGTCCCTCCTCGTAACAAAGTCTCCAACCAGAAACGAACCAGCTCTCAGGCAGGTATTCGTCGTGAAGATACTAATATAGAAGTAATCGTACCATTTACCAGTACACCAGTATCTGCGCGAGAAACACGAATGGGTCAGGATATTTTTCACGATAGTTCTTTTTATTCGAATACGACCAGCACGGCATGACTCGCTTAGGAGCGGTGTTTCAGGTGGTTAGGCAGGCAGGCAGGCAGGCAGGCAGGCACTTGATCGCGATTCATGCTATTTATTATCTTCGATCGAAACTACTCAGTTGCAGTAAACTTTTACGGAATCGGGGCAAACGCAACGGTCTTTGCCGATCGATGACAGCTCCCCCCTCCCCTTCCAAACGCCTGGCCGCACACACTTTCGTTTCCCAAGTACCCATAGCTCGGTTGGAGGCCGTCTTCCGGTGCAGGAAAGAGGGTGTGCTGAAATGAGGGATAAATACGAACATTCACAATACGTATTTGTTTTCCGCTTTGGGATTTTATGACCTCCGTGTGATGGAGTGTGCCTGTAGGATAAGCTCCCTCATCTTGCTTTGCAGGTTTGACTTGATCTCGCTATCGAGATCAAGCAGTTGGGCAGGGTGAACTAGTCCTTTAGGGCGTTGTGCAGTTTCTCGTGCGGTGTGATGAGCATTTTCCGTCTCGAGATCCTGCACGGAGTAGGGGGGAGGCTGGCATCAATTTTCCTATGCGCTGCTGTGGTGTAGTGTGACTTCTCTGTATCTCCAACGTTCTGAAGTGCGCAGGAGTTCTCCATTCCTTCCTGGCATTTCACCTGCCTTAGTCTTCATCGGACTATTAACGAAATCGGTATCCTTGCATGCACGTTCGGTTGAGATCCGAGAGTTCATCCCTGTCGTCAGTCAGTTTCAGTATTGCAGACAGCGGATGTAGAATTTGAATAGTAATGTCTTAGGAGCAATGTGCATTCGTCATTCGAATGGAGAATCAGCAAGACGGAGGTCCAGGTAACGGCATCGGAACCGAACCGGGCAATTTAGATAAGGCAGAGAGGGTAACAACGATCCCAACATCGTGATGCATATCGTGCCAATTTCTTCACGGAGTATTATAGCTATGGAAATAAGTGGGGAAATGCAGCGTGTGCAGCCATGCCATGCCATTGGTGATGCGATCCCTCGCGCTAGGTGAGCTGCTGAAGATGCTGCTTCCGCGACCTGCAAAGTGCTCACGGTAGACTCTTGCGGCTCTCGGAGTCCCGATGACGGGTTATACTCGTACTGCACATCGAGCTCACTGGCATACTCCTTAGAGTTCACACGATAAGTTCTGACAGCTTCCGGTGGCAGATCAAATGCAACGTGCATGGTACAGATCTGGCGTAGGACCTCCTTTCAGCTGTTGACAGCTGCGGTACGAGCTGTAGTTACTACGGTAGGAGGCATAATGATTGTCACCTGCGTACTAGTAACTGTTTGTAACGCCAAGATAGAACGCCACAAAATTGCTCGATTAGAAACTAGTCTATTTTTCTCAGTATCAAAGTGTGCATTTCTTTAGCATCAACAAATGTCTTGTATCTTGTTAGCATTGAGAATTTGTAGATGGCGCAGAATGAGATAGAATCAGTAGAATAATGCGTAAAATCAACAAAACGCGCGTAGAATGGCGACAGTAAGCATTCGTACAGAGCAACAGGGTATCTGTATGAGCGCTGTTAATGACGTTACTTACTAGTGCGCAGGTGACAATCATTATGCCTCCTACCGTAGTAGTCTCAACGCAGTCGTTAAGGCCAATTGTATTTCCCCCTGTGCCACTTCTGCTGCAGCATTCCATGCACACTAAGAAGGATCATGCAGTGATACAGGTCTGGCTAATGCATGTTGGCGGCAGACCCCTTCAAGTAGTCCAGGCGAGCAAGCAATAACGACGTTTGTTGTAACACAATACAGCTCAGGTGGAGCTAAGAAGGGTGGAGACCAGGCCTGAATTTTTAAGCTGCTTTTTGAATTTCAATTGTGACCACAGGTCTAGATCACTGGAGGCATGCATCGAATTGTGGAAAACCGCATTCTGGTCGTCACGGGCGCTGAATGTTGGTGTCATACCTTGGACTTGAGTGGTCAAATGGTACTTTCCTTCTATGAAACAAAAGTTGCCATCAGATCTCTGACATTACGATATGGCTATGCAACGGACACTGATGCTGGTGTGCTTGTCAGCCGTAAGTTGTGTGGTTGGTCAGCTAGGAATGAGTGGAGAGCTGTAGACTCGACAAGGACATTGAGCAAGACGATGATGATCGGCAGATTCATCCGCTGTGGCTGGCCTTGGCAAAGTCGCTGAGGTGGATGGGTGAGAGGGAGACTCTACGCTAACTAAGATGAAGTGAATGGTCAGGGAGGATACTTGCAAGTCCGGGACCACAAAAGAAGATCAGTACTACGTAGCTGGATGACTGGCGCGCGTGCAGGCTGCAAGATGGCTCAATTGATAAATGATGCTGTCTGTCATACCCCAGAGAGTGGGAACCATGGTCCATGGTCCAAGGTCCACGACCATGCTTATGGAAAATGGATAGATGTGGGTCTTTGTTCCTTAGCCCGCTTCTGAACATTGAAGAGAGATACTACGTACACTTCGATGGTCTCCGTCCTTAACGACGTAGAAATTCAATCATGAGGAAGTGGAATCTACATGGTAGTACAGCAACAGTGACAAGCCTAAACGGGTACTACGTGAAGAGGAGAAGTCTATGCATGCTCCTGACAAGCGCAAGAAGAGGCTTCTGATCTACCGTCTTGCATATGGTAGAGGGAAAGGACCCTAGCGGAACCAATGCTGATCAGTAAATCTCTGGCCGGGCTGCACTACTCCATAACGAGGATCCATCACTTGAGAGATGAGTCTCGGCCTCCCAAAGAAACTCTGCCCGCCCAGATGCCGAGTTCGACTAAAAGTCTTTTCACGGAATCGTTCTTTTGGTGCATCTGCGTGTATGCTCTGAGTGATCAGTACACCACAGTCACAATAACTGCATTTTGCGCAGTACATTCATAATAATCGGTTGGGGAATGCTGGAATGAGTTTCTATGGGAGAGAGACTACTGGTCACCTCAGCTGTGAGTACGGGCGCTGGAGCTCAGTAGTCATCGTAGAGTACGTGGTAAGGTTGGCCACTCTCAAGCAATGGTCCCCATTAGGAGAGACTTTTGAGGGAGAAAGGTAGTAGTAGATAACTAGTAGTCTGGGGATGTTGGAGTGCCAAGCACCTGGAAAAGAAAGGTGCAGTGCTAGCTGGATGTTAGGTGGACAAATCTTGCCACCATGCCGTGAAAGATGGGCGAATCGACAGATCAACAAACAGGCCACCTCGTGTTCTGCAGCAAGCAGGAGACATTTTTCTATCAAAATCTTTACTACGTAGTTAGCAGAAGAGGATTCTCATCATGTAAAACGGCTGGGCAAGGTTAGGTGTGGCTCCCAACAGGGTGTTACATTTTAATTGCCAATGTTCTACCAAGTCGGCATTTCTATGTACAAGAATGATATGCGGGGCACCTGACCAATGATTGAAAACCTCATGGCAGATGCAGGGTATCGAAGAGAGGATGGCGTAAGATGCATCTAAGTGATTGGGGTAAAGTCAGCACAGACTCCCTTCTGCAGGAACTTTCGGTGGTTTATAAAGGTGGTACAAGAGCGGTGCAGCGCGCTGGGAAATACCAGTGATCCCTTAATTTAATGATGCTTTTGGCCTAATGCTAACTAGGGTGGTCAATTGGGTTGGGACCTCGATTTCTCGCATGTCAAGCTCAATTTTGCAACGCCCCTGCTCCCCATAAGTTACTTTAGCAACAACTCACAGCACTTGAAATACGCCCGAGACCAGCGAGCTTGAACCCTTCTCCCCTCCCTTTCCCCTCCCTTTCTGCCGTATTGCAATGAAGTCCTGTTGCTAAATAGACGAACCTCCCTTGTTGTTCTCACAAATACTCCAGTAGCTGCGGAGACCGATGCGGCAGCTGGCCCTCGTCCCAACGATAAAATCTCCACTTCGCCGTGAACCCTCCCTTTCCCAAGACCTCCACCTATCAAAATCCCCTTCACGCTTTGGCAGTGGCGTCACTGCCGTAACTAATCACTCCTAAACATTCACTTGAAACTCTTCACACCATCAAAAATCGTTCTTAGCGAGCCCACTAGGATGGAAAACCCGGGGTTTTAGGCACACGACTCCACCATACGTAGGAGTAGTAGTCGGTGACATAACTGACAAGCTCCATCAGCAGCAGCAGCATTACCGTTTATCATCACCGTCTTCTTCGCCTCTGCCTTTCCTACTGCTCTTCTCACGATGTATGTTTCTTCCTAAGTCGACACCAAAGCAGTTCAGTCAGGTCAATTGTTGTTCAAGACACCCCTTTTACGGTGTCATTTGCCAGTTTGCCCAGCCTACCACCGGTCACTTGTGCTCTTATCAGCCCTGAGGCGGAGCTATCTTGGGGGCGGCGAACCGTCCGCTTCTCAACGCAGATCCCACCTCAACTCTTTTCGATTCTGTTCCTGCCGCAGAGCAGCCCACCACCCACCACCTTGGCTCACATTTTCGTAAGCAATACACACCTGACTTTTGTTCTCTCTTCCACCACCACCACCATTTGCCTTGATCACTCACATGATATTGTGCACACAGGCACCATTCTCTACGAGTTCCTTGCTTGTCTCACCTGTCAACCACGTCACGACCGAGATCTACACGGCCTAAAGACCCTACCGATACGAGCTCCACTGTCTACACGGTCGTGCCGTCTACCTCCCAATCCTTGCCATCAACATTTTCGGAGCACATTCGCACACCGTATAATGGTCCCAGGCTCAGTTGTTGTGGATCCCTGAACTACGGCTACTTATCTACTCGATCACCATGATATCGCAACAAGCCCACTTGGTTAGCAGTGAGTAGCAGGAGCAGCGAAGCACAACGTATCTGGATCAATCTCACTGGATGAGCCCAAACATTTGCGCAGGGCGATACCACCACAGGTGTAGCCCTGCTCGGCTGCCACCATGGCTTCAACAGCAGATGAGGACCCTACGGTTTCTCGCGGCGATAACGAGCCCGAGCTAACTAGCCAGGGCTCCATGCAGACGCCGGCAACCGACGCTACCTCCATCAGAACAGCTTTGCATGTTGGTGCAACGTCGTCGCCAGCGTTACCGAGCCCTTCAAGCTCTGATCCCTCACCTACAGCCGTAAGATATCGGCCTAAAACACCCTGTGGATCTACCTCAGTTGGAGATGGGTATTTTGCCGGCCATAGTAGATTTCGCAGTCCTCATCTGGTAACGCCCGGGCAGCCTACATCAGTGCCGTCTTCAGCTCAGACCTCTTCAGCCTCGCTCAATGCACTAGGAGAGGAGGCCGACACACTGGGTGCATACTATGGCTACAATATTGGCAGAGCAAGGTCCGCACAAGGTTCTCGCTCGAGGTCCCGACAACGAGGTGATAGCATGCACTCTAAGTCGCCTTCATTATCATACATTGATCCGCCAAGAATTGCAGACGACTTACCCACGTACCCCGATCAGTCTTTTGCAGCTCTTCATTCTCAGAGACCTGCCCCTCCGTTACGGACTCGAAGCTCAAACCCATCGCAAAATTCGCTGTTTACGTCTTTCTCGGCCTCTCCCTGGTCGGGTCGTGACCGCACCAATTCTGTTCAAGGCGCCAAAACAGCTGGCAACACCCCAGTCTCGAGCCCAGGTCTTTTTTCACTCCGAGGCCCTCAACCCTCCAATTCCGCGACTGTGGCCGAGATCGCAGGCAGCGAAGCAAGCCCACGCCTGCATCCCTCACATCTTTTGACACCAAAAGAGACCCATATCGCTGAAATAGAGCACGATATGTTCACCGGAAACAAGCTTATCAACAGCTATGAGGTTTTGACAGAGATCGGACGTGGTGAGCATGGCAAAGTCAAGCTCGGTCAGAACCTCGAAAATGGAACTCGTGTAGCGGTTAAGATCGTGCCCAGATTCTCGAGCAAGCGTCGTCTGGGCAAACTCGGTGCACCGGAGGACCGAGTGAAGAAAGAGGTCGCCATTTTGAAGAAAGCACGACATCCAAATGTGGTCAGCTTGTTGGAAGTGATTGATGATCCAAACAAAAAGAAAGTCTATATTGTCCTGGAGTATGTCGAACACGGCGAGATAAGATGGCGTAAGAAGGGTCTTCGAGAGATTATCCTAATCAACAACCGACGCCTAGAATTTGAGCGTCAGGGCAGAAAGGAAACCACAGAGACGTTCGACCAGGACATGCTGATCATGCGAAGGGCACGCATGTACCGCCAGCGCATCCTAGATCGAGCCAGGGCTGTAGGTCAGAACCCTGTTCCCTATTGGAGCTTGGAATATGGAGCGGAAGAAGACGACGATGCTGAATCTCCCACCATCAACCGAGTTGTCTCGACAACAACGCACTCTTCCGGCGGAGCAGGGACGATTTCTAACGACGCACCAAGTGTGCCTTCAGATCATGGCGAACAGGATCAGTGGTCACAGTATGCTCAACTGCGCAGGGAAAGTCTTGCAAACACGAGTACGATCTCACACCAATCTTCCGAGCATTGGGACGACGATGACGACGAGTACTCCTACGTGCCCACCCTTACGCTTGCTGAAGCTAAGTCCGCTTTCCGTGACACTCTTCTGGGACTCGAGTTTCTCCATTTCCAAGGCATCATCCACCGAGACATCAAGCCTGCCAACCTCTTGGTTACGAGTGATGGTCACGTCAAGATATCCGACTTCGGCGTATCGTATCTTGGAAAGCCACTGCGAGACGACGAATTTGATAAGCTTAGTGACAAGCTGAGCGAGCAAGAGGCCAAAGAGATGGACGATCCCATTGCCTTGGCTAGAACCGTTGGGACACCTGCCTTCTTTGCTCCTGAACTGGTCTACTGGGAGACCAGTATTTTCGAAGGCGGTAAGACACCAACAATCACTGGAGCGATCGACATGTGGGCACTTGGGGTCACTCTCTACTGCATGATATACGGCCGAATCCCATTCTTAGCCGATAGTGAGTACGGCCTCATACAGAAGATCATCCAGGAAGAGGTCTTCATACCAATGCAAAGACTCAAACCAGTCGAGCTTGGTCCAGATTCTCGTGCAAGTTCGCAAGTCCACATGGGGCAGGTCTCCAATAGCGCAAAACGTGCGGATAGCGAGCTTATCTATGAAGATGTTCCAGAAACTCTTCGGGAGCTGATCAGGCTGTTGCTCATCAAAGACCCGGCTCATCGCATATCAATCGAAAATGCTAAGAAGCATCCTTGGGTCGTGGAAGGGATTGAGAATCCTGGCCGATGGATTGGAGACACCGATCCCAGGAGGCATGGCAAGGAGAAAATCGTTGTGAGCGAGATGGATGTCTCTCACGCCGTGGTCAAGAAGACTGTCCTAGAGCGTGCGCTAGATGGTGTCAAAGGCATCGCAGGCAGTTTGATGACTAAAGCACGAGAGAGCCGCAGACGTGCGACCAGTGTAGCCACATCCGCAAGCGCTTCGGCCGAGTCTATTGCACCACACTCTGGCTCGAGCGGGTCGACTGTGGGCAAAGACAAAAATAGCAAGTTCGGTCGCCGAGCGAGCGTCCGTGGAGATGAATTTGCCACAGCGCTCAAGGCTTCCCGCGAAGGAGAGCACCATCCTCTGTCGCAAAGTCACGTCGTCAGTCCAGGCTATGAGGACAATCGTTCATACTTTGACCATAACACCTCGAGTCAAGGGGTAAAGGCTTTATCCACAGGCTGTAGCCCACTTCTCGAGACGGAGAAAACGTCACGTCCACATGGTCCGGAGAGGATGCTCTCGGCGTTGTCGACTGCCGACTCGACCAAGACCATTCGAGCACCACAGCCAAAGGCTGGTCGATCAAGTCTACTTGTCACGGAGCATCAAGAGCTTCAGACCCCAGATATATTTGAGACAACAGCCACAAGCATTGGAAATATCTTCTCGGGTGCCGGAAAACGTTTGTCGGGTATGAGGAGCCGAGAAAGGCATCCTCTAGATAGTAGTCGCTCCTCGTCAGCAGACGGTAGATCTCCGGAAAGTACCGGCCATTCCGAGCCAAGCATAGCAGTCAGCAACGCAACAGCCTCCGGCAAGGTTACCACACCCGAGGCTTTGAGAGCAGATACCAACCCGCTACAAGAGATGCCGACTCAAACGCGCCCCTTGAGTCCTCAGCCGCGTCGGGTCTCGTTGTTTCAGCCACCGTCGTCTTCGGCCGAGGCTTTTGAACGTGCGCAAGAGGTAAATCGACGTCGGCTGAAGCTTGACGCAGACATTGATGCTGAGCGAGCTGCGTCCAGGCTTGGAAGCCGGCGGCCAGATCTTGACTGTCCACCATCTCCGGACGATGAGACTCACCACGAGCATGTCCTTGCTGACATGCAAGATGAAGGCAACGGGCGAATACCTCTCTCCAACCCACCATCCGCCAGTACCATCGCCTCGTCAGTAGCGGCAGAACATGGTGGCATCTCACAAAGTACTTCGCATCCAAGCATTCCATCGGTCGCGTCAGGAGCATCATCTATCTACCCAGAGGACCCTCCACTACGACGTAAAGGAGCACTTACCCTGCTGGATGAGAAAGAGGTGCAGTCTCTGATGAGCACCGGTCAGACGGTTACTACTCATGAGAAACCCTCAACCATGCATGCAGGAGGCACCCTGCAAGGTGTCGGTTCGACATCGGGCTCGTCGGAAGATGAGTGTAGTTCTGAAGATGAAGGCTTGACATTTGGGCGGCCACGCAAGCGAAGCACTGCGAGTAAGGCCAAAACATGACGAGTCACTGCATGGAATGATCTATATCTTTGGTACAAAGGTATCTAAACGGGCATCCCCACAAACTCTTTCTCTCTATCAAACGAAAAGTTTTCCAACCAAAATCACTTTCAGATACCCCAATATTTCAATGTCTTTGCGAGGCGTCGGGCGCACCGGTATGTTAAGCGGTCTAAGAAGGAAGACGAGAAATGCGTGCTCAAGAAAACGGCGGCAGAGACAGTTTCTTACAGAGCGAGCATATAGACAGCATTGTTTTTCCCCTTTCACCTTTGAAAGGCCACTCCCTCTAAGCAATCTAGCGATGGAGGAGGCAGCAGCAGCAGCAGCACGCTGCAGATTCTGAAACTCGTTCCGTTTTTCTACCTGAGTTGAAAAGAGCGAAGAGTCAAGGTAAAAGTGGCAGAGATGGTTACCTGGTCAAGACCTCTTCTCTCCTGTACTTTTGCGGCCAGAATGATTGAGCTTTGAAGAGCTTGGTGTGGGCGGAGTTATCTATCATTAGCTGTATAGTAACATTTCAGTGACACTGGGAAGGTGCTTTCCCGGGCGGGATATCATTGACGACACATGATAAATTGTGCCGACTTAGAGCCCGCTGGATGGGTATCGAGTCTGCCTTGCTGTGTTCCGCTGAGTGTTGGCAGTGGCAGTGCTACTTACTACTAACTACTAGTGGTACTACTAGTTACTTACTAGTAGTACTACCGAGTACCAGTTGTACCAGTTATACTACTGGTACCTGACCTCTGTAGTGTCCTCGTAGTTTCCAACGTCCTCATCACATGTCGTAGCACTACTTATCCATCCTCGTGCTCGGGACCTTGAACTGTGCAAGTGGATGAAGTCATTTGGTCACCGTCAGCAGTAACGAGTCTTTTGATACTAATTTTGTGCGCAGAAAAATGAATAGATGTGCTTCAGTTCTTCGAGAGGAGGGATCTTGGGCATAGTTTGCAGACCATAGCCAGATCCAATGTTAATGGCATTGTTGCATTGTTGTCTGGTATTCATGTTATTCCAGTAACCATCACTCACCTAGTGCTGGGAAAGACCTACACCACGCTTCAAGGACAGTATCTTAGACAGCATCTTATCTGGTCTTGAAACGCCGGGCTTGGATAGCCGATCTGGTCAACTTATCGGCTGCCACTCAGCCACGAGGCTTAGCAAACGCGCTTCCAATTTTGGCCTCCGTTGACCAATGAGCATGGTCTGCAGGCAGTAGGGAACAGTATTCACCTAATTTCGACTTGGCCCTATGGACACTGTCGACGGTATGATGCTTAAGCTTCGACCTATTATCTCATGGCCCTTCGATGGATTTGGGACCTGGCGACCCGGGGACGTGGCGAGTTGGAAGAATGATTTGATAATGCTGATGGGCTGTCCTGCTGGCTATCGCCCAGTTTCAACAGCCCTGTACGGAGTACTCAGTTCCCTAACTTAGGGTTAGCGCATACTTTGCTGTGCTCGATGAGCAGCACGGCTCGCAGACGACAGTTTCGAGAACAAACGTCCCGCCGGCAGTCAGGCATTGCATCAATGTCAATGCAAGCCCTTGATCATTTTTCTCTGTTGCCTTGAATGTCCGCAGCCACAGCAGTCCCAGTCATTTGTTGTGGTCACCACCACGTCCTCCAGCCCGCGTTCGCCAGCTGCCCTCACTCCACTCCTCATCTTCCTCCGCTTCCTCCCTATCCACCCGGCCTGAGAGCATTCAACCCGCGCACTCAATTCTTCGTCACCATCACTCTTCTCATCACATATCTACATTTCAAACAAGCGCGGAAGGGAAGTCCCGGCTATTTCCGACCTGCCAGCGACGTTGGTGCCCATTATTCAGCATAGCCTCTCTGCGGCTTATCTGGGTGCCACTCCACCAATATTGGTCCTGAAACAATCTGAAACTATCCGGCAGAGCTTAGATGGCCCTTGCGCCACAGATATAGACAAGGTACACTTTTACCCGCCTGGTCAGCACGTTGTTCCATCCGCCATATCCTCGGTTCTCGACTAGAGGTTGATTGCACAAGCCTGCGACTATCATTGCTGCTCCGCCTCTCCATCCAACCATCCACCGACATTTGCTGCAAGTTACCTACCTCGTCTACTATTCTAGGAAACGGGTCTGCAAGATGGATTATGACATACCCAGGGGGAGATCGCCGTCGCAAGGTCATTCCAATCACATAAGTCCGCAGCCTTCTCCACACCGATACCACAATGCGACCTCTAAGCTTGGGCTAGACCCGGCCGTCAACAATTCAACCTTCACCACTGGAAGATTCGCACAAGCCGGCACCAACTCCTCACTCCAGTACACTTCACCTTATCCAGAATCCTCGGCGCAATCCCAAACCCTCCCTCAGACCACTGGCGCAGATAGCACCCTGTACGAGAACAATCATCTCAATCAGGGCGTTTTCCAACACAATCAGCCGCTCGGACTCCAAGACAGCCAGGCGTTTAGTAATCCGTTCCTCCTGAACTGCAAAGAATTCATGTTTGCAAACGGGGGTAACAACATGCAGGGAGATTTTAGCCACACCAATTTTGCCCTTGACCCCACCTACGATCCAAACCAACCGAACATCAATCCTGCGAACCTCAGCAAGATGCCCTCATCACATGCCTCAACACCCCCGAATCTGCTATCGCCAGAGAATCTTCCTTCGCCCGGTCAGCCGGGATCACCTGCGTCAACACAGGGCCAGTTCTACACCCCTCAGCATTCTCGACATCAATCATTAGATCCTGCAAGTGCAGCGTATCCTCATGGCACAGGGCCAGCGGAATGGCAAGGAATGTCCTTTCAACAGCACCGCGAGCACAGGAGAGCCCCTTCGGACCATTCAGAACTGTCTTCCAATGCCCCGTCGCCATTTCTGCCTCAGGCGGAAGTTGGGGAGTCGATTGAGAACAACCACTCTCCCATGATGGGTGCACAGCACGATGCGATGAACGCCTTCGGAATTGAGGACTTCAGCATCAATGATCAGCAGCAAGCTCAGGTCAGCCCTGGTCACAGTCCTTACATGTCACCTCGGCTGGTCCCACAGCACAGTCATGGTTTGGGCATGGGATCAGACTTCGTGCAGCAGCAGGGAATGCCAAATCACATGGTGGGCCCTGGGCCAGAGATCTACACCACACAGCCAGACGAGTCCTTCGGAGGTATGTCTCAAATGCATGCTCGACACGCCTCTGTCGTGTCAGATATGGGCCAAGCAGATCAATTTCCGGCACCAACCATCAATATTGAACCGGCAGCTCCTGTTTCGCGCCAGGCAAGTTTTGAGCCGGAAACAAACCAGCTAGGCGACAATCTCAGTCCACCGACCAGTATGTGACAGCATGCATTTTATCTGATCTTTGCTAATCCATCCTCTAGGAGCCCGTGGCCGCAGCAAATCTGATCCTCACGTGGGAAGATCGAGTTCGAGGCCCGCATCAAGATCTACCTCTCCTGCCGCCCGGCCACACTCGCCCTCACTCAGCACTCTTTCAGACAATGCTTCTGTGCGTTCACTTTCCCCAGGTTTGGGGCCAGCATCTCGAGAGTCTTCTCCGGGTCCGGTCTCAGGCCGTATCGAGAAAAACCGTCGCCAGTCAACGTCTTCCATACCCACTCGCGATTACATCCTTGATCTGGCTGACCCAAGCCGACCGAATGCCTCTCCCGCCGCCTCTTCCACTCGCGTCCAAAAACATCCTGCGACATTCCAATGCACTCTTTGCCCCAAACGATTTACTCGAGCTTACAATCTCCGATCGCACCTCCGTACCCACACCGATGAGCGCCCATTTGTGTGTACAGTGTGTGGCAAAGCCTTTGCTCGGCAGCACGACAGAAAACGGCACGAGGGATTGCATTCTGGCGAGAAGAAATTTGTCTGCAAAGGTGGTCTAGGTTCTGGAGAGCATTGGGGCTGTGGCCGTAAATTCGCTCGAGCGGACGCTCTGGGCCGGCATTTCCGATCGGAGGCGGGTAGGATGTGCATCAAGCCATTGCTTGAGGAAGAAGCCGCAGAAAGAGCTCGAAACAGAATGTTGGAACAGCAAGCACATTTTGCAGCAGGTTCTCTTCAGCCTGTGCAACAGCCGATGATGATGAACGTGGACGCCTCAGGCGGCGGTGGCTTCGCTTTACCTGCTGCCCTCCTGGCTCAATATCCGGCCCTAAGCAACATCGATTGGGCCGCCCTTCCACAAGGTGACGATACCGGCGACCTCAGCGATGTCGGCATGGGCAGGAACAGCTTTGATGCCGGCAGCGGGGGGGATTTTGGATACGATGACAGCGACATCAATGAAAGTTATGTGGCGAACAACGGGTTGGCCTATCCTGCTGGTAGTAGTGGTGGTGGTGGTGGTCATGGTGGCTGGTGAGGACACATGCCCCTGCCAAGCACGCTAACGCTTCTTTCAACCTCATTCCTTTTTGGCACTTTGATTCATGTCTTGATCTGTTTTGGGCAGCGTTTGAGCAAAGATACCAGGTTAATGGCTAAACGTTTGGGCCTCTTTGGGCCTGTTGGGCGTGCTACTACGACATAAATCATAGATCTCGGAGTTCTGATGAGTTGCTGTTGAACATACTTTGCATAGCAGGTTACCACCTGAATATAGGGCCCTTTGGCCTTCCCTGCTTTCTGTTTGGCTCCAAGTTTCGACTGCCTGCTGCCACTGCTCATCTTTTGTCATTGTAGGCTACACTTTTTCTAGGGCTCAACAAAGCGTTCATGGTGGAAGACGGGCAGTATCGGGGCCTCTGAATGAGCGGTTGAATCAATACTTACAAGCTCTCTTCTCACGAAGTTTGAGATCCGTTCCGTTCAACAAAAGATAACCTCTGTGCCTATGTTCTGTTATACAGGAAAGAGAAAGGCTGCAATACCATCACACCAAGTATGTTTCGGGTCGGAGATGTTGAGAACCATAGTCGGGATGGCAAAGAGGTGAAAATACGTGATTGTCTCTCTCCATCGATACAGTATTCGTCTCCATAATGCAGCCTGCAGTGTTCACGATCTTCTCCGATCGCCCTACTGATGATGTCGTCGCCACTAACCATGCCCTAATCACGATACCCTGACCACGATGCCCTGACCACGATGCCCTAGGAATTCACTGTCATTCTGAGCTCTTCTCACATTACTGAATGGACGACCGTGAGCTTCCACTCCCACAACTTCGATTCCCATCACAATATTCATTTTTCCCCGTCAGCCTCCCTTCCGTCTAGGACATCATCTCATCTCCTTCTATCACCTAGCCATCGCAGGAAATTTCCTTCTACCTCTCAAGATGGCTGCAGACTGTCCTCCTTGCTACGAGGTAAGCATTTCTTCCCATAAAGGCGACTACGACAATCTACCTACATCTGAATCATTGGGCACCCCGATATGCTTTGTATAGATGCTTACTCTCTCTTAGGAGGGTGATGAAGAGTGGACCACTGATGAGGGATCACAGTCAGACCAAGCACTGTCAACAGTGCCTACAGTACCAAGCGGTGCTCCTGCTAGCCCCTTCAGAGCCCTTAGCGGTGTGAACAATGTGGACTTTCTCCAGTGTTCTCCTACCTACAAGAAAGGCCCACGCCAAGACCCTGATACCACATCTGCCTACGCTGGAGCAGGACAGAAAGAAAGTGTTTACTCAACCTCCGCTCAGCGTCCCGCCATTTCAGCCTTTGCAGCCACTTCTACACCGCGTCCTACTTCCGCAGCACCCACCACTACTGCGTCAAACTTGCCAAAATTTGACTTATCCTTCGGTGCTTTAGCAATCACAAAGTCATTGAGCAACAGGATGGCACCCTTCAGCAAACGAGCATACCGTCAGGCTCATCAGACGATCGAGTTCTTCGAGCAGCAGCCAACATCGACTCAAGCGCCATCTGATGCAAGACCTACTCCTACCATGACTTCGGCTGGTAACAACCATCATCGGGCTACCGTGCCGGGCACAATCCAAAAATGTCCTGGTCCGGAGAAATGTGCAGACTGTAAAGCCGGTCGGTCAGCGCCTACCCCAGTCGGTGGCTCAAGTGCTTTGCCTGGTAAGCCAGAACATTCTCCTCTTGACTTGCTCCATTGCCCAGAATCTACGTATGTAGTATCTGCTGACCGACTAGTAGCAGGTGCTCCTCCCTCTGTGTCAAAGGCTGGAGAGATGAGCCAGCAGAACACAACTATTCACCTCTCAGACATACACTACGGCATCACACATGCAACAAGAGCTTCTGATCAGGCGGCCATCAAATTTGAGACGATCAACCCGCAACCTCGACGCTCGACCTTGTCTTGGGGAGAAATGTTCTGCTGTCTCACAGATCGACTCCAACGAGAGGCTGCACACGACACAATTTTACACCTTGTTCAAAAGATCGAGCTGGACAAAATCGAGAAAGGCTGCATTGCAGATTACCTTCCATTCTTGGCCGATCGTCAAATCATCCAAATGATCGACAAAGCAAAGCTTAGCTCCGAATGGCTCTCCAAACCTGATGAAGTAGAGGCAGCGCGCAGGTCGCAAGCATCCTCGACGCGTGCAGAGGCTACGCCGGCTCCAGATGGTCTGAAGTCATCCGACCCAGCAAGCAACCCAGCAAGCAAGACAGCAAGCGCACATGACAAGGACATTAGCCAAGAGATCGATGGCCTCCATCTGGAGGAGGAGCAGAATAACTTGAAGAGACTGAAGAAATGGGGAGATGCACTTATCCGTGAGAACCGTAAGATGAGAAATAAATGGATCTCGGAGACGGAAGCACAATTGGACCGTGAACAGCACGAGGGAGCTACCAACTCCAAGTCTTCCCTGTACCTAAAGACACTCCTCGAAGCCGTCAAAGCGGGAGACGAAGAATCGCCCACCGGAACCCTGCTTCAAGATGATGTCTCTATCGCCATGGACCTCGCCGTCAAGACAGCCATACCTTCTGATCCAACCATTCCCTACTCCCAGAAGTACAACGAGCTCCTCGCCAGCCCGGGATTCCAACCCATCGCCAAATCCACGCTGATCCTACCAGAGACTCGGGCGGGCGGGAGACGACCTGCCAAAGCACGCGTGGACCTTATCATCGCCTCCGGTCTGGCACGAGACGGAACGCAAATGGCTCTGGCACGAGGAGACGGAGAAGGCCGCCGCCACCACCACCGCTCTAACCAAGAACCAAAAGCGCGCCAAGGCACGCAAAGAGGCGCGCAAGGCCAAGCGAGACGAGAGCGAAGCCGGGGCGGTCGCCGTTGCCTCGAACCCGGCTATCACCGACAACAACAACTTCGCCCTCGACCTCTCCGCACCCTTGCCCTCGACCGCTTACCCGCCTCCTCCCGCTCCACCTCACAGCCACGCCACCGTCATCCTCTGGGCGCTCTCGCTCTCGGCGTCGCAACTCGCCTCCCTGACGGGCAAAGACCGGCTCCTCG